CTCTCTCTCTCTCTCTCTCTCAGCAGTTGACTTTACTTTTGAAAGCTTCTTTGCCCCACTACCACAGCTAGGATGTCTGAATGCTTTTCATGACATCACTTCAGCTTAGACAATGGCTGGATCTGGAGGGATGCTAATGACAACAGCCTATTTTTAACTTCTTATATATAAATTATACTGGTACATACAAACCTTTTGTATCAAGCCATAAAATTGTAACTCTGCCATTTTTTACTGTCAAGTGTTTTGAATCCCACTATAATTGCACTGTGATGGCTCGTTGGGAAAAGCACGTTTCAGCTTAGTTCTCCCTGAGGGTAACCATACAGAATATTAATCATGTGTCTTTGTTTTGTATACTAATTGAGAAACACAGACGTGTGTACAGCCCAATCTTATTGTATGTTTACTCAGAAGTAAGTCCCGCTGTTTTCATTGAGGCTTAGTCACCAGATAATATGCATAGGATTGCAACTTTAATCTTGTAAGTACATGCATATTGATACGTTTAAAAAGTGCAGATCAACAACCAGTTCTTTCACATACCCTTTTCTTCCTACTGATCCAGCTGCTCTTAGAAAGTAGAAAGTAACACAAACAATTGATACCACAGAGAAGGGGGAGTAAATAAATTAATTGCATTTCATCACAGGAGGCTTGGGAAAACAAAGACATCTTCACTTGGCATGTAAATCTCCAGGCCAAATGAAAAGATAAAAGGAGGGAGCTCCACAGAACAAATGCAACTAAAGTCCTATCTCTGGTGACTACCCATTTTACCTCAAATAATTGGAGAGTACATTGCAGGGCCTTAAACAAGAATCTTAGAAGTCAGGCAGTTAAATATGGGAACTGGCCTAATTTTTACATACCTTTGCAACCCAGATGGAAAGGGAGCAGGGTAATGGGAAGCTAATGAAGTAATTTCTGTACTGGTAAGATTGTTCCAAATCCTACACCAGATAGCACTCTTACAACTGCGTTCTGGTCCAACTGCTTTGCAAACTGTCTTCAAAGGTGGCCTTGTGTAGAATGCACTGCTGTAATTTGTATGAATATTTGGGTCCCCATCTTGCTGTTCCAGGAAGGAAATCAAACATATTGTTTAAATATACTACATGGCAAAGATAAGACCTGCTCATCCATCTGCAAACCTCTATCTAATAGCACTCACAAACCATTCTTTCAGGGAAAGCACAACTAGATAATCCCAGACTGGCTACACTATCAGCTAGCAGTACCTCAGTGTTATCTGGATTGAGCTTCAATTTATCGGCCGTCATTCATCCCATTACGATTCCAGGCACTTGTTTAGAATATATATCACCTCAACTGAAAAGGAGAATTTAATGTATTTTGCATACCGTTGACTTCTTGCTACAAACCTCTATACAACCTCTTTTAGCAGTTTTGTGCAGATCCTGAACAGCATTTGAGACAAGAGGAGCTCGTGGGCACCCACCCTGTACCTGATTCCCACTACTGCTTTCCAGTGTTGATATGACATAGAAAGTACAGTGCCTCCAACATCCATCTCAGACAGTTCGATCAGAAGGATACCATGGTTGATGGTACTAAATATGGCCAAGAGGTCCAGGAGAAACAACAGGGTTGCGCTTCTGTCAGTCAGGGTGCTTAAAGTAGCAATCCTAAGCAAGTCTCCTCAGAAACAAGTCCCAGGTTATTCAGTGGGAATTACTTCCAGGAAATTGTCTTTAGGATTGTGCCCTAAGTGAGATTCCATTCCAAAACTGGATCAGAAGCCAGACTGAAATGGTTCAGATGCCTGGAATTGAGTCACTACTGTTTGCTGAAGCACAGTATCCAAAGGAAGAGAATTTATGAATGGCCAACAGGATTCTGCTAGGGGTGTGCATTCAGATCTACCCAAGCTGAAATTTTCAGGTATATTTTGGCTTCCCAAATGTATCTGGGTTTTCTTGGGGAAACCAAAAAGAATCCTGAGAAAATCCCAGATATATCTGGGAATTTTGGGTAGATCTGAAAACAGTGGAGAGGTAAGAGCAGATTGCTCCTACCTCCCAGCTGTTTGTTGGACATGCTTATGCAGTTCCTTTAAACTTTAAAGTAACTTCACAAGTCAGCCTGAGGATGACCTGGGTGGTGGGGAGCTGAGAGCTCTCTGCCACTTCGGCTGTGGCTGGCTTCTCTTGCACCTCATGATTGACTGTGCCCACGGGGAGCGGATCACTCCCCACCGGCGCAGTTCTGCACTGCCTCCTTCTGCTGCCTGGAGAGGGCAGCCCAACCAGGATTGGCTGTGCCTAGGGGAGCCAACTGCTCCCCACCTGCACAACTGTGCACTGCCTACTCCTGCAGCTCGGTTTAAACTGGGCTGCAGGAGAAGCCAAGCAAACTCCAGGATTGGGCTGGTATTTTCTACTGGTACTTTTCTTCTTGGGTCTATTGGACCTGAAAATTTTTGGGATTTTCAAAAAAAAAACCTGGATCCAAATACCACACTAGTATTTGGCTCCAGGATGTTTTGGGGATCCAATACACACGAACTGAAAAATTATGGTAAAATACTCTGCACACCCCTAGATTCTACAAAAAAAGGTTTCATAACCATGTCTTCCAGTGTCATTGGCAGAAACCTTTTTCTCAAGGTGACGTTAAGTAACACCTGGACCTAACTAGTAACTGTCCCCCAAGAAGCTGTAATGAGCCAGGAGGGCCAAAGATCAACCTGTGAGGTGGTAAGCTAGACTTTTTAAAGGAATTTATCTACGTCATTAGATTGAAATAACTGAAATGGAATATATAAATTGAATAAATAAATGTGAACCGACTGCATCTGTGAAATACCTTGCAAACAAGTCACAGTGAACCTCCAAGCTCTCTACAGTATCTTCTTGGGGATCTGAGTGGAGAAGACTCCCCCCCCCCCCATTACAACCTGGAAAACATAGAAATGGACTCATTTCTTATTGTAAACTCGGAGACTATATAGACTAGACTATGCAGCATCCATGTGAAGTAACTGCTGTGAAATAAAATGTGTTTACTAGAATTTCATTCAAAAGAGTCCTTTGTGCCTGGCAGCCCTATAGCCTACTATATCAGCCATATGAATTTTCATGTTACCGAATGCTGTATCTTAAAGCATTATCCTTTTAGTATGATCAAATACTTCAGTCTTTGAGGTTAAGACACCCATAACTTCTTATTTTCACAGTATAGTATGTCATGAAACTCAAGTCTTAGAAAACTGTTAGTTAAATTAAAAATGTACCTGCCTTGATACCAGTTTCTCAGATAATGAGATAGGTATATTCAGGCTCTGTTCAACCCAGTTTCTGTGGATGAAAGAGGTAGACAGCACAAGGCAATGATATGCTTGCTTAAAGGTGTTAACTATTTAACACAGGAGGTGTTTGAGTAACTCAATAGGTGCAAAGAAAAAAAAATGGAACTAACTGCTGGGAAATACTTCTTGATCAAAGATGCAGAGGTTTTTTCTATGTACAGCCCAGTTACTTTGTACCTATATAACAATGTTAATAAGTTTATTTTAAACTAGTGATTCTTAACAGGGACTATACACCCCTCTGTGGAGGCAATCTATAAATGGGAAAGGGGTTAGAACTGAGGGGCAAATAAGGGACATTTGGGATTTTAGATCGCTTGTTCTCCAAACTAGCAGTGGTTTTTGACAGCCAGTTGGATAGAATTGTTTTATACTTTCCTCAGCCTGAAGATAAAATCCCAAATGTGTATATTTGATCATTAAGGTACTAGTTGGTGGCCATCAGGCACAAGAGTCACATTGAATATATACTTGAGGTTTTTGTATTATACGTATATGGCATAAATGTATAGGTGTAAATAAAACTGCCTTCTCTGCAGTGCTGTTGTTATATTCTGATTTTTTATTTCTGGCTGGGGAGCATAGCATACTTAGTGGGTAGTTGAACCTTAAAGGCTGAGAAGCAGTTTTAAGTAGGTATCAGAGAAAGCAGCAGTTGCTGAAGCAAATCACTGAGGGGAAATTATTCCCTTGCCTCTCTCTCCAGTGGGGACCCAAAGTGGCTTGCAATGTCCCCTTCTCCATTTTATCCTCACTCTGTGTGTGGGGGGGGGCATTTGAGGTTACCCAGCAAAAGTCAATGGGGGAGTGGGGATTCAAACCTGGTGTCCTAGAGCCTACTCTAAAACTTTAACCACACGGTAGTTTCTCTTGCTGAAAGTGATTTTATTTCATCCAGACTGAGACTGACCTTAACTGAGACCTTGCCCATATGCTTCCACCTTCTGAGATAAGGGGGACAGTCACGGCCTTCTCTGCCATGATGCCTCAGTTTGGGGTGGGGGGGGGAGAAGAGCTGGTAAACCTGTATGTTATCACAGGGATTACCTGTACCTCCTATAATTATGTGAAATTTAAGCTGTTACCATGGTTGCCTGCTGATGCCTGAAGTGCCACTGGGGGAAATGGGGCGTCATGCTGAGAAGTGTTTGGAAATCCCGGAGCATTCCATGATGTCACATCTGGAAAAAAACTGGAAGTGACATCACCATGCCAGTGTGTCAGTCCCCCACATCCAAAATGCTCCCAGGATATGGTAGCTGTGGCCTAGCAACCCTAGCTGTTACTGATAAAGTATGAAAGCCAGTCAGTGGAAAGCATCATACTGAGGTGTGACCTACCTTGAGCCTCAGTGGCAAAGGTATACTATAAAAGTAAATAAAATAAAACTATCACAAAAGTATGGAAAATAGAAAACCATAGCAGTGATTTCCATACATATCTAAGTGCTGCTGGCATTTAGCTCCAAAGTCTTTGAGTTAATGTGAAATTAATTTGCTTCTTGATATGTAATGCAGCTGCCTCTCTAGGGAATGTGATGGCATACACCTAGTTGACCCGTCACCTGGTTGTATTCGTATATTAGTTTCCAAATAAATTTAATGTGCATGGAAGCTTCTGAAATCATGTCCTAATCCAAATTTTCAATTTTCCCCCCTCACCTCTACAGGCTAACAAACTGGCAGCTGATATGTAACAGGATACAGACAAGGACACATGCGTTGAAAGCACACAGCAATGACAGTGAATGGCAACTTCTACTGTAGGTTCAGCATGTCAGTCCAAACACAGACGGACTTTAGCAGAGCAGCAGACATTGCTATAAAGACAACACTGAGTAAGGAAACTGACATGGTGCAATGTGAATAATGGTCTCTCTGCTTTTGAAGTACTTTATTTTCCGCCTCCAAGCTGCCCGTGTGTTTTCATTTCTTGAGACTGCCACTTCCAACAAGCTTTATTGGCACATGGACAACCAGCTACCACAGGAAGAGGCATATTGGAGTGTGTGGTTTGTCAGCGGACTCTTACTTTGTTTCACAATATTTTTAATGTATTTTAAATGTCCTATTCATTTCATGAAAGGAGAACAAACACAATGCCTATGAAATTCATGAGTCCTTATTAGTGAAGGTATACAGTCAGTTGTGGAGCCACAGTGGCTCAGAGGTTAAGACGATGAGCTGCAGACTGGAAGGTCTGTAGCTTGGCTGTTCAAGACCCGAGTGCCATGTGATGGAATGAACGCCTGTCTCTGGCCCCAGCTCCTGCCAACCTACCAGTTTGAAAGCAAGAAATTGCAAGTAGATAAATAGGTACCACTTCGGTGGGAAGGTAAGAGAGTTCCATGCGCCTCGGCATTTAGTCATGCCGGCTACATGACCATGGAGATGTCTTTGGCTTGGAAACTGAGATGACCACCACCCCCTAGAGTCGGATTCGACTAGCTTTCGAACAAGGGGAACCTTTACCTTTATTATACAGTCAGTTAATGTAAGGCAGTAGTTTCTCCCCTGTTCACACCTACCTTTATCACTAACAGGGCTTGCCTCTTCTCTGCATTCATCTTTCTCTCCTTAAAAACTGGGGAGGGTGATAGCGGTATGACCTTCATTTGGAAACCACCGATCAACTGAAAAGCTAGGTTTATTTTAACAAGAGAGAGTACATAGCAAACACAAACCATTTCTATCAAAAGTAGTATTTGAAATGTAATTGAACAACAAAACCCAACTTCTCACCAAATTTATTTGCTACCCCAAATAACCTTGAGATCATCTGGTGCTAGGAACTGGAGCATAGTAATTTTTATTAGCGTGCCCCTGCATTTCTGAAATAATGCTATTGTATTAATTGGGGGGGGGGGGGGGGTTTTTTAAAAACTGTCACTGTTCTCTAAGTGAACTACAGTAGTGAACGTTGGAAAATTCTGCCCTAGCTGAGAAAAGACCTACTAAGTTTAGATTTCTAAGAGAAACTTACATTCTAAGCAAGGTTGTACTGAATTTTTGGTTCGTGTAAGCACCAATTTGCATTCTTGAGGGTTAAGGTATGTTTTCATCTTTATTGTACACTGTTAATTCATAACATACCTGCTACATGCTCACCAAAGAACCTGGTTGGGCTTCCAAGCTACAGAAGATGGTCTTCACTATACTGCGCATGGTGTCTTATCTTTTTCTACCCTGACTCTTCCCGTGTTATTGCTGTCTGTTTCAGAAGCTGCAACATAAATTTACAAAGCAGATGCTTTAATGACAAAGTGATCTGCTAGGCTGTAACAAATGCATTTCTTGTGAGTCCCTGTCTTCGAGGTATCCAAAACACCCTATTTTCAACATGCTGAAAGGGTGCCAGTAACTCCTGTTTTCAAGCAAGATGTTCTTGTTCAAGAAAACTTGATCAAACTTACCTTTGTTCTTACAGAAGAAGCAGCACAAGATCCACAAAATGCATTCAAACTGAAGCTCAAAAGCACTTTTTTCCACCTTGTGTGTTCACAACTTAGTCCTGTGCCTGTTAATACTTTACTTCTATTGACCACAATGGTAATTGCTAGCCGTGGACTCTGAACATAAAAGGGACTGCTGGTTTACTAATGTGGTGTGATGACAATATGAAGGAATTACACAGTTCAACAAGGACCTAATTCAAAACAGCAGACAAGGTAGTACTTTTACCTTGATGTTCTATCAGCACTAGATTTGCTACCCCTTATTTCAGTAAGTATGGTATACAATGGTATACATTGAAAACAGCCTTTTAATGTTTTAAATGACTTTTAATGTGCTGTAAATAAGCTTCACTGTTCTGCCTTCAACAAATTAGAGTTGTTTTTTTACCTTTTGTAAAAAAGGGCTGAACAATTAGAAGACCCCACTGGGCTGAAAGTAGATTAAAGAAAATACCAGCATTCATTTGAGTACAGTGATGAATGTGTTGGTTAAGACAGTCAACCCACAGTTGAACAAAATGTGAAGAAAAACACAGGACTGTGACAAAATGGCAATAATGTTGAACCCTTCTCACCACTGTAACATGTTGTGGAGACAGTGAATGTGAAATGGGGCTTTCAGCACCTGCAACTCCACATCACTGGCTAACCTATACACAATATACAACCATCACACATTTCCATTACCTCACTTTAAAGGTGGGGGAAAGAGAAGAACATAAGCTCAAGATAGGACACTGTTTTTGGAACAGCCCCATAGTCTTTAACCTACAGAGCCAATATGTTATCAGGAGTGCAAAGACCCAGGTTCAAATCCTTACTCAGCCATGAAGTTCCCTTGGTAACTTTGGGCCAGTTGTTCAGTTTCAACTTATCGTAACTCACAGGGCTGTTGTAATGATACAATGGAAGTAGTGACAACCGTATACATTGCCCTGAGCTCCTTGGAGCAAGGGCAGGATGTAAATGCGATAGATATAAATAAGCCTAGAATAATTCTTCCGTAAGAAATGTGTTCAACTAAAGACGCACACCAAAAAACCCATGCAGTAAAACATATGAGGAAAATGACCAAATATTGAATTGACTTTAATGTGTGTGATAGAATTAAAATTTCACAAAGTGCTCTTTATAATTTGTACATACTTGGTAGTAAACTGTTCTATGTCTTACATTGGTCTTCAGCTGAGTTATTGGTATCCAATAAAGGGAGCTTTGAGTGTCGAAAGCTTATGCCCCTGAAATTTTGTTGGTCTCTAAGGTGCTACTGGACTCAAAATCTAGCCGTTCAGCTAAATTATTGCCAGCAGTACCTATCCAAAGATGTTAGAATGGTGTTAGGTATCAGCACAAAAAGATGGAGCACTCATGAGATTATATGTAGCAATTCAGCTTCATGTATGAGTCTAATTTTCTGTATTTCTGAACCACTTGTTTTTTGGACATATTAAAAACTAAATTTATAATCAAAGTGAGCAATTTCCCTTTCTATGCAACATACATAGATCAGCTACCACTATAACATTTGTCTTATTTAAATGCCAGGTATTAGGAACAAATTGTAGATTGGAATTCAGCATATTCGACTGGCAGCCCAGAAGCAGGAACTGTAAAAAGTCACTTTATGCTCACCCTTTAATTCTGTAGTCATTAAGATATATGTGAAAAGATAGCAGGCCTCTCTCTGGCTTTTGAACAACATGCATCTTAACACAAAGTACACAGAGGAAGACACATTTTAAGTCAGTGATGGCTATTTTTTTGCCAGTGTAGCACAAGTTTAAGGTGAAAGGGTAGTAGAGAACCTGATGGTACACATGCAGCTGCCACGTTCTTTTTCTTCTCCTAAGCCAGGAAGAAGGCAGAGGTGCATCTCTATAGGCCATGGCGAATAAGAGGGCAGAGATACAGCTCTGCATAGGCCATGGCTAGGTCCATCAGCTCTAATGCTCCTGCTGCTGTGGCAGTTGTGTGTTAAAACCTACTTTATCAAATGGAAGAAGCCGCAAACTACCTTAATCCGTGCTCACAGATTAACAGCCTTCGATGATCTGAAGTATACTTCTCAGTGTTTGATTGTGCCCATGGTTTGCAGTAATTTGTACCACAAACAGCAATTGCTACAGAGCTCTCACACACTGTTCCTCCATGTGCCTGAGGATAGCCAGATTAGAGCATAATTCAGTTGTAACAGACCTTGTTCTTTCCCCCCTACATGGATTAATCTAATGAATCCTAAAGCTCATGTGCCTTTTCTTCCTTTCCCTCTTACGTATTTATTATGCTATTGCATTTACATTCCTCCTTTTATTCCATCATGCAACACGGGGCTCTCATCCAGGTATGGACCAGACATATACCTGCTTAGCTTCAGCACTACTGCTGCATCATATGCCTTCCAATCACATCTTGGGACCATGTGGCCAATTTAAACTCTTCCACTTGCATAGTCAATTTGTCACTATGTCAGAACTGCTGATTATTGTGTACCCTCCAGGCTGGGATTCCCAGACACAGTTTAATTCCATCCAAACCAAGGCTCCCGACCAGGATTAAATCATAGTTTGTCGTTCCAACAAACGATGGTATGTTATAAAAAACATAGTTATCAAACAACTTACCAAGGAGGAAAGAACATACATGTCCAATGATTCCCCAGGCCTGCTCAAGTGATGACAACTGAGCCATGACTACGCACATATAAAAAGCATATGGTGTGAAACAGTACCAAGTCCCACCCGCCCTTACTGCATGTAGCCAAGAGCATTTCTCAGACACAGTCATCCTGAAACTTAAAGAATTTGGATCTGAAATGGAGTGGAAAGCAAGACAGGCAATTATCCAGAGAAAAGCTAGTTTAACATGGGTTTGCTTTACTGAAGTCATTTTTGTCCTGCAAGAACCTATGTTCCTTCTGCTCTTGCCACCCGGACCTGTTTTGATCAGGTTGTATTTTCTATTGGCTACTCTTTCAAGGGTGTTTTTGCACTTCTACATCCTGCCTCATTGTAGGGATTAAGAATATACAGGCATAACCAGAGGCATTTCATTTTTGTAATGAAGGGTACAATCCTTTGCCAACTTATTTGAAAGCAAGCTCATTGAAATCCCTGAAACTTTGGTTTGCACAAACCTACAGGACTGGGAGATATAAGTTCATGGCTAATGTGAAAGAGTAAGCTTCTTACTTACTGGTCCAATTCCCATAAAGGCTGCAATCCTCTTTGCTTAGCATGCAAAAATTACTACAACAGGAAAGAAGAAGAGAATTATGAACTTTATTAGGTTGGTTCAAATTTCATTTATGCTTCACAAAACAGACTAAGATAAAATGGCAAGTAAAAGTTTGTTTTCATGGTGGTAGGGAGAAAAAGATGGATTTTTTTAAAGTCTCCCTAAGCATATTTGTCACAATTAACTTACAAGGTAATTGGTTTAAGAAAAACCCTACCCATTACAGTCAAAACATTACACTGAATCCTGCTTTTGGTAGCTGAGCTCCTGTGCAGGGAAGTGGAGGAGATCTAACTGAATCGCTGAGGTCATTCATTTTTTTATCCTATATAAAGTATTTTCTTTTCACATTACAACATGATATTATTTTCTATTATTACAGGAAAAAGGCACAGCCCCATTTTAAAATATCTGGATAACAGTGCAACATGCCGCTAACACACCCACATGGTTTCCAGAGAAACAAAAGCACTTTGTTTTTGCTCTGATATAAGCATCATGTAGAGAGAAACGTTTGAGTTGCCACACCCTTCCTTGATTAAAGACACAGTTTAAATCCAGAAACGCCAGAGGAACTTGAGCCAGATGCCATGAATCTTGAATAAGCACTTGCATTGCATTCAATACTTTGTCTTCACAGTATTAAACACTTCCACTTGTGAAGAGGAAGATCACTGTACAGTTGTCACATGGTCACTAGTTATTCCTTCCACCAAAGAATTCTTTGACTTTAGCAAGAGAACCTCATGTATTAAGGGCACAAGGCAGGAAATACACGTTTTGGATGGCAAATAAATGTACTTCCTTGTGATGCAGCCATGGATCTCTTAACAGAACCATCAGCTTGTGATGCAACCATTGATCTCATAACCGTCAGTACATTTTCCAGGTTATTAGAAGAGACAACACTTCTCCATTGAGACAGATACTAGCAAGGGCTTTAAAATTTTCCCCTGAAATGAAATGGAGCTTTGTTTTTTTCAGTAACATTTCAGAACAATGATTCTTATGTTAATATTTTGCATTGTATAATCGTCATCTTTTGTTCCTACCTTTTTTCAAGTATAACTCAAACATTGCACTTCCCATTCATAACAGACACCAGCATCCTCTCCTGTGCTTTCCAGGCCAAACACTTTTGCTACTGGCCTGTCCTTACAGTTAATAGGCTGACATCTCTTGTCAGACTAGTGCTGCAGCAAAATGAGATGATTATAGCATGCTGCTTTAAATTTCAAGTATGCATTTTTTTAAAGAAAGACTGACCCAATTTTTCACTCATCTGGTTTAGACAATGCCAGCATCTTATATTAAGTTAAAAGAGAGAGGGTCAAGGTTGCCTTCTTCAGACCTTAATAAACCACTTGTACGAGAGACATTAATTGAGCTTGCTAAGCACCTCCACTGACATTGAGACCAGCAGCCATCTTGGATCCTTGGGCATATTGCTGTCTTTTGACTGAGCAGATCGTCATGCATCCAGTGGAAATACTAGCTGAGTCCCTCTGCTCATCAGCTCAGGTGCTTCTGTTCCCAAATCACGTTCTAGAGCCTCCTCTGAGCTACTTTTTGTCTTCCTGCCATCAAGACTAGTAGTAGCAGTGTGTGAGCCAGAGGATCCATTAGCAGTTATTGTAGTGTCCGCATATGTCAAAGTCAGGTCACTGTCATTAAGAATAAAATCAGAGTCTTCATCTTTAAGCTGTTCATGATTCTGGGAGAAAAAAGGGTCCAGGGCAGGGATTAAAAACAAACATTATGTTAATATAGTTTGTCAGTGATGATGGTTACTAAAAGATAAGTAAAAATGCTAGAGAATGTTAAAGGAAACCTAGAGAAACTCCACAGACTTCAGTGGAATTTAAGCAACTGGTAGGAGTGCAGCAAGAACTCATTTCACACTCTCGATGGAAAATGTAATTTCTTTATAGATCAAAGACCTCTCTCACTTTTTGTGCTACCTACGCAATCAGTTTCTATTTTGCTTTCACACGACATTCATATATGTAAGTCTAGCAACTGATAGTGCTGCCTACTCCCTTAGTCCACCATTCAATGGCACACATTCCAGTCCATCGCTAGCTTTAAAATTTCACACCAGTTTGAGTGTCTATAATTATTCTATAAAGCTACATTTTAGTTTACTGAAGCCAGAGGGCGTTCAGCCAACAGCTACTGAGGCTTCTAAGACTGCAACTTCTATTTACTTCAGGACTTTTTCTTCTCTCAAATTGATCTGCTTGAAATTATTTTCTGCTACCAGAGTAAATTTTTGCACAGCTGGTTTGTAACATAGATGCTCTACAATATTTCCAGGCAAATGGCCCAACTAATTGGTCTGTAATGTCCCAAATAATTTGTCTTCCCTTTCCCGAAGCCAGGCACTCTATTCGTTCTCCCCAGTCCTCTGGGGCCATGTGCCAGGAGCACTTCACAGTGGAAACAAGAACTCATCTTCAATCCACATTCTCGAAGAGGCCCTGCCTTTCATAATTTGTTCAGCTTTATCCCAGATCAAGCTATAAATTACAGCCAACAAAAATGTGTCTTGTGTATGAGTTCTAAATAATCTCATAAGCATGAAAATTGCTTTTAAAAACACTGACAGCTTTGCTTAATATGCCTACCCAGGATTATGCTGCTTTAAGTGGGAAGGGCATGCGAATACTTCAGATGGAGCCTAAGTAATCTGAAACATTCTTTTGAAAGAGGCAGGAATGTAACCCATGTGGATCCCAAGGGACTTGAAATTCTTCCAAAAATAGCCCTAAACTGGCCTCTCCAGTTCCTTGGATTCCTGGTCATTCAAGGCTTATTTACTCCACTGCATTTTTAAAAAATCACCAATAATGCCCAGACTAAGGGACTCACCTATTTAAATCGTGTTTACATTTCACATTCCCATGTAAAGTTCTTTTGTATGAGCTACTCGTCCTCAGATGAAACTGACACTCAGGTTTCACAACTGGCTTTCAGTAGAAATTCCCCACTAAACAAAAACCAGGCTGCCATACAACACAGTCCAGCATTTAGCAAAGTGCTAGAAGCATCTGTGTAAAATTTCAGACATAAACTGATGCCATTCAAGTCTCCCCAGAGTCAGCAGGAGAGAAAACATGAAATCAGTCGCAAAAAGTCCTAGCTTGGCAATCGAGAAGTCTGCATACATCTTTCTAGTACTCTGCCCATTTTTTCTGTGTGTGTGCATGCGTCTGAGTGCAAGCTTGTGTGCCAACCTCACCAGAGGTCTTTCAGTCTGCCCTGGCAGCCAGCCATTACCTGTGGTCTCTCTTGATTCCTCCTTTCTGCCTGAGCCTTCCAGCATGCAATGACTTGGAGGGAGTTAGGCTCACTTGCCCAGCAGTCTTTCTGGTGCCCAGAAAAAGATCTGCTGCAAGAGGAATCAGTGGCAAACATCATCCCTTCCATCAACTGAAATCCTTGGTGGGATCCAATCCAAACACTTTAATACGTAACGTTCCTTAACAGTGATCTTAGCAGCCTAACTTTCTGTATGGCTGTCCAGCGCTCAGAGCACGCCACCAATTGATGTTGCTGAAGTGCAAGAGAAACGTTTCGCTGCAAAGGAAAATCTTTTTGAGAAAGGAGAACTTTTAGTGGGCAAAGTTGTGCTTACCTCGTAAACCTGGGGACTAGTCAAGCAGCGCGCTATCAATCCACACCAGCTTGGAAGAGTTGTCGTCAGGGGAGGGCCACTGTGGGTAAGGGTGGGCTTCAAGTAACTGTCAACATGTCAGTTAAGGAAAGAAATCTCCCTCTCTCTACTTTGATTCATTAATTTGTTTTTAACTAATGGTTTCTGGGTAGGTACACTTTTCCTTGAAGGTATTTTTGCTATTCTTGCTGGGTCCAGAAAGGTAACAGCACTCGTTTAATCAACTGGATAGCCTCCTTCACTGCACCAACACATGAAGTTCTCTGAACAGGGGACCCTGCCAGCAATGCCACCATATTGCTGGCAGGGTCCCCTGTTCACCATATTATCACCATATCACCATATTATCACAAAACACCAGGCTGACTCTCAGGCACAAACATTTTAGAGTTTTAGCCTGAAGCACAGAACCCATTCAACTGAGAAGAGTCAAAGTGACTGATCCAAGTCTAGGAATCATCCAGATCATTGGAATGATGGGATTTAGCTCTCACATCCTTGCTTAGAAATGTGGTAGACTCAACAGTTCAAACTCAACACCAAGACATTTAGCAATTGAAGGCCAGTTTAATGTAGAGGGGTGAACTCAGTAAACAGGCTGAAATGAAACTCACTGGATGACCTTGGAAACAGTGTTCCCTCTAAGCTGAGTTAGTGTGAGCTAGCTCACAGTTTTTTAGCCTCCTTTTTGTCTTAGCTCAGGAAGGAGGGCTCCAGAGCAAACTAATTTATGCAGTAGCCAAACTACCTGCTCACAATTTTAATGTCAGTAGCTCACAAAGTAGAATTTTTGCTCACAGGACTCCATAGCTTAGAGGGAACATTGCTTGGGAAGTCACTGTCCCTTAGCCTAACCTACCTTCCAGTGTTCTGCTAGGGTCCCTTTGTGTATGGTCCCTTTGTGTATGCTACCCTTAAGCTCCTTGGAGAGAGGATGGGGTCAGAACACTGCAGCATAAGCCTTTCGTGAAATGCTCACATTAGGCACTAAAGAACTTGGCTATTTACTTTATATTAATGCACTTCATAGTTTCATGTTAAAGACCATCCCAGCACATCACTGCTACTTAGGCCTTTTATAATCTATACAAGCAACCCTGGGCATTGCTTTTGCAGGACTATATTTCTTTCTTACTAAGGACCATTTTTTAATGGGGTGGCAGTCGTGAGAGAGTTTGAAAAGGATACTTGTGGTCAAAGCTATACCATAGCCTGAAGATCCAAGCACTTTCCTGCTTTGTCCTGTTCCTTCTATCAAGATCTGGACCATCCTGTTGAGATGACATCTGCATTATATACATGCATGCCCTGTGGCAGCCCCCACTTTATGGAACTGGCCTGCCTGACGGAAGTCAGGAAGGCTCCCCACTCTCTTGGCATTTCTCAAGCTATGCAAAGCTAAATTATTCAGGGAGCCATCTTTATACAGGTAATAGGGCTTTATTATAACAGAATGATTCAGGAAGAATCCTTTAACGAAGAGAAAGATACTATACTACTGCGTATAGTAGGCAGTATCTGTTGCAGTATACATTATTGTATTATGTAATCCATGTATCCTTTAATATGCTGTGTTAATACTTATGCTTTGATTCAGCTTTGTTCCAGATTTTTACTTGGTTTTAATTTCTGTAGCCTAATCCTATTACATTGCTTATTGGATGGCCCACCCTACTGACTGTGCTGACTCGCACTGTATAATCTGCCTTGAGTCCCAGTCAGAAAGGTGGACTAAATAAAATGATAAAAGACAAAGCATTTAAAATTCAAGCTCATGATTCGGTATGAAAAAAGAATCTGACTGAAAAGTCGGGCCCCGTTCCATTAGATCAGCTGATCTTCAGGTTTGTTTAGTTGTCTTCACCAGATCAAGCAACATCACAGCTGGAGCCCCTCTGCAAGCATAACCAAGACTGAGCCCAAGACAGTTCAGGTGTGGCTGCTCATTGACAGTTTGGCAACAGTTTCCTGAAACAAATAGGTCAACAGAAAAGACAAAGAAGATGGTAGATGGACTATGAGGTCGTGTTGACCTCTGACAACTTTGGATCCTTCAAGCTTTCCTGGTACGGGGAGCACAACCTTTGGAATCTTCACCTCACACCTGGAGTTTTAAAAATTATTTCAAAAATATTTTTGTGAGTATTTTGCGTGCGTATGTGCTTGCGAGCCTGGAAGTCATGGTGACTTCTGGCGGCCCCTACTGGGGCTTGGACACTTCAGAGAGGTGGCTTGATAACCTGCCTCTGGTATTCCTTAGAGGTCTCCCTTCCAAGTACTTGCCAGGGCTGGCCCTACTTCGCTTCAGAGATCTGATGAGATTGGGCAAGCCTGGGCTATCCAGGTCAGGGCTCGACTGAGGTATATTGTTTGGTTCTGTGAAACTTGTTGGGGCTGGAAGTGCTCACCTTCAGCACTCCAGGTTACTTCTACCCTGGACATTTAATACTCATCCTGCTGGGAGAGTAAAACCGAAGGAATTGTTCCTCGTGAAGGGGCATTTCCCCACCTTAGGTCCAATTTTATTATGATCTAATTAACTTGACACAAATAAGCTTCCATTAAGTGGCCTAGCAATTCCTCCACTGTGGAAAGAATGGTATGAGTGCCCACTCAGAAGCCAGCTTCTTACATCTCAGTGCAGTAAAAACATTTAACGTTTGTTTTTAAAAAGCATACTTCTTTGCTGAATACTAAGCCCCCTTTGAGAGCAATGGTTTTGAAAGTGCTGTACAATGTTTAAAAAGAGCTACGTTGTTTCTGAATTTGGTCCACCTTTTTTTAAACTGCAGTTGCTTTTAGTTGAGTTGTAAACTTCTCATTTTGTAAGCCTCTCATTTCACATGAAAGTTAAGATTTCTCTCACATACTCAAAAATATGGATTGGACACCCTCTCAAAGCTGTCCATAAAAAGCATTACCTTCTCTCTGAAATCTCTCTAGCTAAGTTAGCTTAGTATAAACCAGTCTTGGGGGAGGTAATGAAGGATTTGATAAATGCCGGACCAGACCAGACTAAGCTCCAGTAGCGTTAACATGTTAACTGTAATCCTTTAAATGCAATAGCAGAACCACAACATGACTTGGCCACCTGTTTTGCTGCAGTTTCTTGGGTTTGTAGCTGTGGCTGCCACTCTGCTCTTGAGGAAAAGCCTTCTGACCATGTCAGGGGGTGGGTGTCAAATGATGCTTGAAATTAATGAAGGAAATTAAAATGAACACTTGTATATCATACAGAAAGGATATAAAGAAAGAAGAGGCAGCTCCATCTACTGAAAGCCACACTTCACTTCTTAAAATCTGTGGAACTTTACAATAAAAGCTGCTTATTTACATAAGCTTTAAAAATGGCATTGGAGTTGTAGCTTACCTAGAGAAATAATGGTAGTCGTGACTTTATGCAAACCATGAGTCGCAAGGGCAAACTAGCAAGGGGAAAATTCGACAGGGATGAAGACCCCAGGAATCACAGTAATGTTCCACTCAGATACTACAGCAGGAGGTAGAACTGGTGGATATATTTGCAAAGCTTTCCAGCTGGTGGGGCACTCAGGCCCTTCACAAGCACACAGGCAGATTTTCTGTGATGTGATACTGCATGGGCAGAGCAGATCACATGAGACCTGGTAACAAAACACACACTCTTCCTGTAGACAAGATGCCTACAGCGTGGGAAAGGACCAGGGTCTGGACTCTGGAGACAGTTCTGGAACAGGGCCGGCTCACCCACTAGGCGAACTAGGCATTCGCCTAAAGCGCCGGGCCATGGATTGAGCGGCCAGCCCTGGATGGGGCGCGGAACTGTGCCTCCCCCCAAAAAAGCCCATGCACCATTGCTTCTCCAAGTCGTGTGGTGTGGGGCGCGCAAAAGGGGAGTGCAAGGTGAGCGCCGCTGGTTCGGGGAGCCACTGCTCTCCCCTGCTCTGCCGCCAAGGCAGCCGCATTCCCAGCCAGTCAGCCAGACCTGCGTCCCGAGCACCGCCGGCTGCCGCAGCAGCTTCCTTAGCGGCAATGGTGCCTCTCAGACCGGCCTGTGAGGAATGGCCACAAAGCCGGGTGCAGTTGCTGGAGCTGGAGGCCCTGTGCCGCGAGGAGTGCCTCCCGCTGCGCTGGCCCGAGCTCTTCCAGCAAGAGCGCCCCTTAGGTAGCCAACAGCATCAAGTTCAGGCGGGGTTTTTTTGCCGGGCAGGGCACTCCTTCCTTCTCGGGGTTCGCTTGGGGCTGCCTGCCGGGCGACCCCGCAGGACCCTGGGTGCGCCGGCTGGGGAAATGCCCCATCACTTGCCAGCGCCTTGACTCCCTCCCTCACCACAAAAAGAGGCCGGGTCGAACAGAAACTTTCCCGAGTCGGTGCTCTCGTCCTGCACGCCTGGCCCAGGGCGCTCCGACTCAGTCCCGACATAAGTGGTGCCCGTCTGGCCAGCCCCGTGGTGAGTGCTGCCCGGCACCCCCTTTCCCTGACGTGGACGGAGAGGGCTGTCCGTCTGGAATCCTCCCCTGCCAGCCGTGGGGAAAGTAGCGGGGGCTGACTGCGGTGCGAGATTGCACGTCTGCTTGGGGCGGTGCGCTGTCCGGGAACACATGTGATTCTCTGGGCCTGGGAGCCTCTGGCCGGCAGGGAAAACTTCCTCAAAACCAGGACCCGCCGCTGCCGTGCCGATACAGGGCAACCTTTGGGGCTGGTCCTGTTGGGCCTGGTCAAGTTGTCGTGCTGCTGCTGCTGTTTTTTTGAAGTTGTTGGTGGCCCAGCGCAGCTGCCTGCCGTCTTCCTCTCTCTCTGAAGAGCTGCAGGCCCGCTCGGCCGAGATTGAGGCCCTCCGCGGTGGCAGCGACTCGCTGCAGAGGCAGCTGAAAAGCCTCAACGGGGAGCAGAGCGCCCAGGTGGCCTGCTGCCAGGTAAGGGGGCGCATGGGACCCGGCGGGGAGGCTGCAAAGTCGGGGCAACAGCTCGCTCCCCGCTTCCCTGCAGGATGGGCCTTTTGGGGCAGCTGAGAACAGCCGATGGCCCGTTGCCGGTGCCTTCAGGCCTTCCTTCCCGACCCTCCCCCACGCCAGGACTCCCTACTCGGGCTTCAGCTGACCCCTTTGCCCCACAGCATGCACCCCTCTGCTTTCCTGGGGACTTTGAGGGAGCCTCTGTTGCCCCCCCCCCCAAGAGGCGGCTAGCTGGGAGATCTCCAAGCCCCACCAGGAGGTTGGCATCTGCGCTGAGGGGGCGCCACAAGGCAGCCTCGCCTAGGGCGCAAAAACACCTTGAGCCGGCCCTGTTCTGGAGTGGATGTGGACTAATAAACTGAAGCTTAATCCCAAATAAATGGAGATGCTACTGGCAAGCTGAAGGTCGGACCCAGAACTTAACGTGTTACCTGTGCGGGATGGAGTTGCACTCCCCTTGAATGAACAGGTCCCTAGTGTGGGGTGGCTCTTGGATCTGGTCCTACTACTGGATAAGCAAGTGGCAGCTGTGGCCAGGAGTGACTTTTACCAGCTTCAGCTGGATAGCCTTTTCCTGGGCAGAAAAGATCGGGCCACTGTGATGCATGCCCTGGCTACACCTAGGTTAGATTACTACAATGTACTCTATATGGGGCTGCCCTTGAAAAGTGTTTTGGCGATTGCCATGGCAGTAGCCTTCTCCCAGACCTCCGGGAGAAGCCTGCCAGCGCCCATGGCTGGGAGGGGGCACGATTGTCCACGCCACCCCAGGAGCCTGGGAGAAGGGCTCCCAGCCATGAGGCGCTAGAGAGCTTCCCCCCGGTGAGAAAAGCCGGCGAGGGGGGGCTACTCCAAGCCCTGAGGGGGGACTCTTCTCTGTTAAGAACTGTTTGCAGGTGATTTTAGCTACAAAGGGGGGGGGGGCTGCTATAAAAAGCGACCGGAATAAAATAAAGAGACTGTAAGAAGAAGGAGAGGCTGGATCCTCTGAGGAAGACTGACTCTAAATTGGGGGTGGCGGGTCCTAAACAAGGCTATCAGTTGAGACACAGAAAGGGGAAAAAATAGATTGTCAATGTGCTCTGGAATACCTAAAAAGAAGTTTATTGTATATCGTTCTACAATCTTTTTATGAAATTAGAAATGTTGATGAAGCACTTATGTTTAATTAGATAGATGATCATTTTCAACGAAAGTTCATTTGTGTTTAAGTTTAAAGGTAAATTTGTAAACGTATGTATAATCACCATCTCTTGGGTTTTTAGAGGGTTTTCTTTACTTTCTCCCATTGATGTAGTTTCCTTTTCCTGGATTTTCCGTTTGTAGTTTTTAGTATGTAGTTATTAGAAAATGCAATAAAAAACATCCCCTACGGGGGGTACAAAAGAAAAGAAAAGTGTTTGGAAACTTCAGTTGATGCAGAATGTTACAGTCAGGATGTTGACTGGAGTGGATCATAGTGGCCATATCACTCTAGTCTTGGGCCATCTATATTGGGTCCCAGGTTGTTTCTAGATACAATTCAAGATACTGACCTTTAAAACCCTATCTGGCTGGGACAAGCATACCTGAAGGACCACCTACTTCCTTATGAACCTACTTGACCACTTCAGTCATCTTCAGAAGCCCTGCTTTGGATGCCTCCGTCTTCTAATATTAAGCAGGTGGCAACCTGGGACAGGGCCTTCTCAGTCATGACACCAAAACTCTGGAACTCTCTCCCCAAGTAGTCCAGTGGCACTTTAAAAACTGACGTTTGTTCCACTATAAGTTTGTGTGAGACAGAGCTCACTTTTTCAGATACAACAGGTTTTCCTGATGCAAAAACAGTGGGCTTGCAAATCACAGCTGGTCCAAAGGAGAGCTTGTTATAGCCTAATTAAACGATGATTTAAGACTACTCTGCCCTTTTTGAGCAGTATCTGACAAATCTGGTAGGAGACATGAGGATATAATGGGATGAGAGCCAGCAACGAGTGAGCAGAAAGGAAAATGTACTTAGTGCAGTTCCACTTGCACAAGAAGTAGAGTGATGACTACAGCAACATGTAACCCAATGAGCATAGACCATCATTTACCTGTCTGAGACACAGTTTGTCTTGTACATCAGCACAGTTTGGTTGACTGTGATATAAGAACCCTTGTCCAAAAGCCCAGCACTGGAGAACCAGCAAAAATAACCCACAGAGCTTCCACGTCCTCATCACCTTGCAGCTTTTCCTTCTTTTATGGAAAGGAATTCATGTTACCCCTTCAGCGGTCAAGAAGAAATGGGTTGTAAGAAAATCGCATTACCAGTGACATCAATTCTGCTTGTCACGCGATCAAGGAAGAAAAATTAGATGCATAAACATTTTATAGAATCCTGTGTGTAGTTGGCACCAAATGATTTTAACACTTTAGAAATACAAAGTAATCTATCAAAATGGCATTTCAGCATCATTGACCTGTTTGGAAAATTAATTACTCACTCCTTGTAAGACTTGAAAGCTGTCGTTGCTGGGTGGTGGGTCTTGATCTGGGTCAACGCCAACTCTGCATAAACATCGAAGGTTGGGAGGGGAGAGAAAGTAAGCCATGTGGTTAGCTGAACTCTAAATGCCCTTAAACTGGGCTCCAGGCTCTTGTAAAAAGGTGGCTGAAAACAGTTATTTAGCACTTTCAAAAAAGTATCTCGCTTGCTACAGCCTTTATGATAACACCTTTGTGTTACAATTCAGGCAGACTACTCAGCAGTAGCAAGCTTGTGTTCTGAGGCTGATTACAACGATCTTACTTAGCTAGATTTTGCTTTTAAAAAGCCTGGATACATCTCCAATTCATAGAACGACTTGTTTGCAAGTTATTTTGTAGTGTCAGATGATTGTCTGGTACCCCAAAACATTTTTTTTTTGTTTTCATGATGGTAACTCATAATAACATACTAAGGAAGCCTTAAAGGTATCTTACATGAATATGCAAAACAGGTTTTATCTGCATGTGTCGATAAGAGTTCATAACATTATCCAGACAGATGATGGGGGAATGGTCAATCCCGGAAACTAGCCAGAAAGTGATAGGAAGACAATTCTACAACTAGAGAGACTAGATCAGTTTATACTGGCTTGCCTAACAGTTTTGGAGGCTCTGATACTTTTGGTGAAGACAGATGTAGCACAGCATAGAGAGTCAAGATCCAGGCATACAGAAGGCCAAAATGAGATCAACTTAACCACTGAAGAATTGCTGAACAGGGTGTTCAGAACAGGAGGAAAAAAAACACATTTTAAAGCAGGAAAGGTAGTAGTTACTAGCAGCAGCATCCATCAGTGACCAAGAAAAACCCAGCAAATGAATCCAAATGTATGGGAGACATGGTGCCTATTTTCTGCTAGGTGTATTTCCCCAGAGCAGCTAAATTAAATGTTACGGCAGAAATTGTATGGCAGAAACATGGGGCCAGGATAGGTACAGATCCCAACACCCCCAATTAAAAGGGCTCCAGGGGGATGCAAAATAGAAGATGTATGGGTTGACAGTACTGGAGAAATCATTGCGCTGCCCCAGTGCTCCCATAAAACATTTGGGCTAGCATATAAAATTGTACTATTTGGCACATTAATACTTTACACTTCTACAAATGTCTTCATTCTCCTAAAGCTGATACCTGAGAGAGAGAGCTGCAAACCGCTGCACCCTATGCTACCACTGCACATGTACTTTATTTCTTCCTGCTTCTCAGGTGGCCCAAAGTAAGGTGAAAACACAACACACAAATTTGCTAGCAATTAAGGTGTTGGACAAAAACATATCATACAGTCACAATAAGACTGGTAGCATATTTGATATTGAGATAAACTTTATAATATTAAGAACACTGGTCTTTTCAATAGTGTTCTATCCCCATGTGTACATTACAGGTTGTATAGAGGATTAATCACATTTAAACAAATGTATCCTTGAAAATATTGTATGTGTCCACAGTATACACATTTTGAATGAGTAAAATCTTGCCCTTAAATATTTCACTCATTCCAAAAGGGAAAAATCTTTCCTAGGGTTTTTCCCCTCAGTGCTCCCCCCCGAATTCCTATTTTTCCACTGGAAAAAATTGGGGAAAAAATCCTCTTGAGGGGAAAGACCCCCCCCCCCAGTTTTGTAAAGATTTTCTCCCTAAGTCTTTACATCTTCAGCTTAGACTCCAGTAACTCTGCAAAGGACTGCACAATTAATGACTTGGTTTGAGAAGATCTTCTCTGTGCCAGAATGATGCCTGAAAGTCATAGAGCTCTACAAGGGCAGCCTAGCAAAAGGCCAATTCTCAAACAGAACAAATACTGATTTAGTCAAAGTGTGTGGGTGGGGGAGTGACATCCGAAGGGAACACAAGGCTTCTTGAGAAAATGTGTACTTGTAACGTTCTGCACTCCTTTAACTTAAGAGGCAACACACCATGGAGAAACAACAACTGCCTCCTTTCAGCCCACAAGAAGGGAAGTTTGCATAAAATCAGGACAGGAGAGCTGTAGAGTCTTCCATATTGCTAAGCGAAAGACATGCAGCAGACAGACAGACTTTAGGTTAGAAAGATGAAGAAAGCCAAGCGTCAGGCATAATTTGTTATCAACGGAGCTGATATGGTCACCTGAAGTACAGCCAGCGGCTTTCATTCATCTCTTCCACCGATGGAACATGGTCGCCAACTCTAGTACGGCATAAGAATGGGATGTAAATAACTTTGGGGGGGAAATGGCTGCGATCCCTTGGTACCCCACCGCCAACTTACACAAACTGGCAAACACACAAATAACAAGTAAAAAGCAAGGGCGGGGCTGAATTAAAATCAAACATTACAAACAAAGAAGGGGATCCAGAGGCTTATACCTGTATTTTTATTGGAATTTTAAATTACATTTTATTTGTTTTGGGTTCCAGCTGTGCTGGAAGACAGACAAGGTCATAAAGGAATGGCAGCTTTCCCTCCACACTTGAACTATTTCTAGTTTCTAACTCTGCCTCCTCCTTCTGAGCTTCTTCTCTTGTCTCTATAGAACAGGTACCACTTCTACTTTCTTATCCCCACCCCCTGCCCAGTTTCTCCTGGCTGCTGCTACCCCTCTCATTTTTTAACCTATTCCTGCCTCATCTGCTGACTTTATTCAATGCCTTTTTGTTCTTCCTCCCATCATGCTTGTGGCCTTCAACTCCCCTTTCCTCAAGCCCATCTTTTCCCAGTCCTTAGTCTCCTGAGTTCAGCAACCCCAATTTCAGGCTCCTTGCGCCTATTACTACTCACTCGGACTGTGCCTTTTAATCTCACTCTTTCTCAGAGGCCATCTATGATATCACCATAAGCTTACTGTTCAAAAACGTGATAAACTCTATAGGGTCAACTATTTTTGGCAATTACTGTTAGGCTCGTGATTTAGAAAAAGACAGTTTTCTGAAGAAGTAATCGCAACTAGATGAGTTTGCTGATGAGAGGAGGCAAAGGAGATGAAAAACTATTTCCATTAACTCATTCAGTTCATTGAAGCGGCTGACCTAACCTGTTACTGATAGTCCAGACCACAAAGATAGGGTGGTTAACATCCAAGAGACAAAGGCACAAATGCTTTGAAATTACCAACTTCAGCTGTGGGTGAATCCTTATCTCTATGCATCTCTCAAATTAAAAAAAAATACAACAGCTTTCAAAACTCAGCTCCTGTTTTTAAAAAGGAGAAGTATTTAGGCTAGTTTACATTCATATCCGAATTCATGCTCATTAGATATCCCGTTTCTAACAAACAGTAAATCATTATTTCAGCTGCGGTCATGTTTCCTTCCTCTGTTAGAGCTAGCAGGGGGGGGAAATAGCTTAAGTCAGCTACTTTTTGCAGAAGAATGCTGCAAGTGGTTTTTGATTTCCTGACTCTCAAGATCTTTCTCTCTTTAAAGGCTGTTATGTGCCATAGGCAGAAGACTATCTTTTTAATGTCTACACGAAGGAAGACTGGGTTTTTGAATTCTCTTATTAATTCATTACTTGAATGCAGCTGCACTTCCCAAAGGGAGCATGCTTCTTAGAAAGGTCACTCATTTCAAACGTTTGCTAGACAAACGAATAAAATAATCTATATGAAGTAGGCCAAGCAGACACTATTGTGTTGTTATGCCCAAAATGACTACAAAATATCGTTCAGATGTTAAACAGGCTATTGTATCATTCCTTTCCCAGCAATATTGGCTGTTTCCAGACTGTCAGTATTCTCCATGTTGCTTTTATTAGGCACTGTAAAGGCAGAGGCATGCATCTTTTCAACAGAGCTTCCACACGAGAATCTTTTGTACAATTTCTTCTCTCCTTTCCCTGCCATGCATCTTCAGCAGTAACTCTGCAATGGCTCTCAGCAGCTTGAACGCCACAGCAACTTGCCACCTTTTTCTTTTTTGTCCTTCATGCACCCGCTATATTGCTACAACAGATCTTTCAGTTTTTAGCAGGAAAGTGGTAGTACTGTTCTAGCGCTATAGCAATTAGCTTCCCCCCCCCGTTGCATCACCTGACAGCTTTTAAAAAATTGGTAAGAAAACAGTGTACATGTAGATGGGACTTTTGCAGGGCAGGGAAATCTATACCGCTCCTTCCAGGTGACATGCTAACACCCTTGGACTGTGTTTGCTCTAAAAAAAAAAACATATTGAGGACAAGGAAAACCTGGAAACAGGATACTTACAGCATGACATTGTGTGGAAGCTCCCCCCTTTGGAAGCCAAGGCACAGAAAAACCTCAGTTGGGGAAGTGGCCCTAAGAACCTTCTCACAGTTCAGGAGTTTTGTTTGGAAGTGTCAGCAGGAGCTTCAATATCTTCCATGTTTGCTCTGTTAAGCAGTCCTACATATGGCAGCAAACTATAAACTGCAGACTAGAACTTCAGTGATTTATGATCACAGTCCACTGTCAGTCATGTGTTCTGCTATGCTGCAGTCACACGGGCAACCAGGTCTCTGCTAGCATCCAGTACTGTTGATACAGGAAGGCTTCTGTTCGGTATCTAGTATGGCAGCCCTGTCTTGAAAACTGACCAACTTGCTCTTTTTAAATTACAGTTGTCCATGACTGCCATCTCCTGGATGAAGCATTTCATCTCATGCAGCTCAATTTACTGCCATTCTCAGGGCAACTCATTACACCAGAGTTGGCAGAGAACTGCTCAGAGTTAATTAAGGGAAAGGATTTATATCAAACCATGTTCAGAGTTCCTGAAGGCTTGCCCCAGGTAGATTGACTTGCCTGGCAGAACTATTTGAGCTAATTCCAGACAGGATATACTTATTTTCAGACCTGTCACGCCCCATCGACATATTTACTCAACATAGTTGTTCACCATACTCTTAACATTATATTTCCTCACCTGCATGGTAACACAGCAATTAATGGTGGCCATCCAGGCCAACCAAGCAGAATCTATCAAGCACACTTACAAAACGGTTTACATTTCATTTGCCGAGAACAAGAACTGAAGACAAGCAATAAGTTTGCTTGTCTTTTCCTGTTACACTCCCCCCCCAAATTAGAAGAGCATCTGGTTTTTAACACTTATGAAGCCCAGGTTTTTCTAAGGGGTTTTGTTGCACTGTCTGGAGGGGATGAAATTGGGAAGCCCTTGCTAATCTTGGCACAAGCCAAAAAGGTTCTCGGTCCATGGCTCAAAGACTAGGGTCTATGACATGCAGTCCAGTGAATAAATAAGTATCTGACCAGGATGTATTTGTTTTGCTTAAAAATGAAGCCACATTATATTGCATTAGACCACTGACCTAGTAAGGTCAATATTGTCTATTCTGATGGGCAGCAGACCTCTGGGTTCTCAGACAGAGGTCTTTCACATCACTCATTACCTGGAACCTTCTGCATGCGAAGCAGAAATTTTACCACTGAGCCACAGCCCCTACCCTTTAAGTTATGTTGTTTTATTGTTTAAACTGGTTGTTCTGGAAATTTCTATAAGCCACCTCAGGGCCTTGTTGGGGAGTAAAGCAGTTCTGAAATGTCATGACAAATAAATATGACCAAACACCAAGCAGATGCCTGAATATGATCTCATGCAGTACCAGCAAGAAGGCCATAAAAAGCCAAGTTAAGAACCAGTAAAACTACTTGAAAATACTGTAGGAGGCATGGAAAATGACAGCAATCCCATACAGAATGTTTGGTTACAGTACACTGGCAAGAACAGAGAACTGAATAATTCTCTGTTAGGTTTATTATGAAACATCACTTTAGGAGAGAAGGCACAGAACCAACTTCTTCCTCCTATCAATGGGCATTTATTCACTTTAAGAGTTGGTTATGATAAAGCTCTTTGGGTAATTCTATTCAACCACAGGAAGTGACTTCAAGCCAAAGTGATTTGCCGTTTGTCAAGGTTAGGGGCAGAAGGAAATTACAATAAAAACACAGGACAAACATTGAAAACAAAAATGTTTGTAAAAATGCAACAGAGGGAAGACGTTGTTTTAACTAGATAAAGGATGAAGCCCACCACCCCACCCTCCAACCAGTACAAGGTAAACTTTGAATACTTGGAAGCTGCAGCTTCCAAAATAAACTTTGAATACTTGGAAGCTGCAGCTTCCATGCAGGGAAGATATCCAGACAGTACATAAACAAATGCCTGTGTTGTACAAAACTGGGCCGACAATCTCCTTGTTACAGGAGCTCCTCATTTTATTTGTTTAAAATATTTTATCCCCCTTATCAGACAAAGGCTTTCAAGGTGGCTCACAGTAAACAAAGCCTTAACTGTTGGTAAGTGACAATCCACACAACTGTTCATTACCCCAGAAGAATAAAAAAATAATCTCCAAGCTAAATCAGACCGGATGGGGGGGCAGAGAAGCCTTATCAAACTCACTTATAGCAATGTAAGTGAAAGGAACAAATCACAGCCAAAAGGCTGAATTCCCCCCACTGAAGGAGAAGGTCCTGTTCTCTGGTAACCACCCGGCTGTGCGGAGGGGGGGGGGAATACACTGACTGGGAAGTCATTGAAAGATTTTAACTGAGGGACAGATACTAATGAGGGTAAGTGATGCTTTAAATTACCCTAAACCATTCAGAAATTATAAGGTAACAAGAAGTATGTTCAGTTGTGTCAAGAAGCGAACAGGTAGCCAGTGCATTTCTTTTTATATAGGGAGGTATATTCTAAGGAAGTAGCAGCCATCGTTTATAGGCAAGAATACGGGAGGATTTTGGCAGTCTAGTAGGACCGCCTGGCTTGATCTTGTTTAGAAAAGACACATGTTAAATACACACATGCATACAGACCTTCAAAGCTGCCCAGACTACCAAGCAGCGAAGTATTTAACAACTCAAACAAAACAGCATAACATAGCAAGAGAGTTTGGGGATTCTGTTTTACTCTCAAGATGCATACCTTATATTCAGCCAGGACAGCATGGGTGTTGTGCCACCGCCAATTACCCAAACAGTAAAGAAGACAATCAGAAGGGTGGTGGTGAACATCATCTGATGAGCATAAGTTGCGGTGTCTCGGATGGCTAGAGCAAAGGCCATGGCTCCTCTAAGACCTGCAGACAGTAAAGGAGAGGAACATAAGCTTCCTGATGCGAGGGATATTGTTGCGATGCCGCTCCTTCCATGCAGAATTGAGAGGTTAAGACAGATGCTTCATGGGCTACAATGCCAGCTGATTTGTCCACCTGTGCCATTCAGGCTCAGCGCCAGCTTTGGATACTGTTTCTCAGATTGTACCACAAAGAGAGGCATGCTACTGCTAGCCTAAGACACTAATGGCCGAAGCAGCTCTACTTTCACAGGACTCTGTGCAGGCTACTCAATCCCTGCCCCACAAAAGAAGTGGTAGCTGTACAACCCCAAAATATGCACTTCAGTTATTTTACTTAAGCTGAGAGAAGTTTCTGTATGCATTTATACAGCTTTCCAGTCTCAGCAGGAGGAAGCAAGGATATGGAAACGAGAGGAAGATTTGGCAGCTGAGACAGCTTTCTAATAGCCACATGAGAGAGGAAACACTGACACCTCAACCTCGCCACTTATGGAAAACTGGCTCAGGCCTGTTCTTTTAAAAATATTTTCCCAGATAAGGTTTATGTGGTTCCAAGGTCTTAGGCATGAACATTTAAGCACTCGATCTAAGCACAGACGGCTTCACCCTTACCTAAAACCTTAACGCTATTTCATACCTTTGAATGCTTAAAGTCTAATGTCCTTTCATAAGCTAGTTTAGGACCCTGTTCCCATGCAAACTTACTGTAGTGACGGTCAAGGCCTATTCTAGTGTCACATCTTAAACACACACACACACCCCATCCTAGCACAAGGAGGAGGAAGAAGAGAAAGAAGAACTGGCTCTGATGTTGCATACTGTGAATGCACTGCAATTTCTCTACCAATTCATACTTCAGCCTTGGAGTGCACCTTTGATGAAACAGAGGAGTTGCAGCAAGCAGTGGCTTTACTGACACCCACACAATCCCAAGCATACTTTCGAAAGAGATGGAACACTGCCAGCTCTACCACGGGTATGACCAACTGGGATTACGTGTTTCAACTGCGTGGGAGCTCCAGATTACCCAGATGGTGTTGCCCTACCCATGCCATAAGGCCTTGATTCTTTCCCAATTCTCCTCTCGGTTGGAAGGCAAGCCCAAATAAGAATACACTGGCTTGACTAACAACTGAAATTCAGAGCACAAGGCGGCCTGAGTGCAAAGAGATACATATTGAGTTAGTGGCCACAGATTTATTTTATTTATTTAAAACATTTATTAGCTGCCTGTCTTCCTTATGGAGCCCAAGGCCACTGACAGCATAGACAGAACACACAGACAGAACAAGGGCACTCTTCCTAATTCAACAAAAACGCAATCTGAACGAATAATATCCTTTACACAGACAGGAATGCTTGGCACATAAGACAGAATTAATCTCATTTTTTTACCTGCAAACATCATCATGTGCTGAAAATTCCATCTGATCTTGTGCCTTCTGCCCAAATTCAGGAAGAAAGAGAGTGGGTAGATGTGTGCAGCTCTCCCAAGGAAAATTGCTATCTAATCACACCTTTTGGTTAAGGATCCAGCAAGATTAGCATCACACAAGTATTGGGCCGTTTCTTTCAACTTAATGGCTTACCTTTTAAAGATATTCTACTTAGTATCGATGCTTTCTTTAAGAAGGTACTATGGCAGTCAGCTCAGTCGTCCCCCAAGCCTGCATGCCATCTGCAACTATCTGCTCATCTACCCTCCAGAACAGAGCGCCTTGTTGCTTCTAGTCAGTGCTACACACACTACAAATTGAATCCAGTTCATGGGAACAATTCAGCTTAAGAGCCCGTTAATGCATTTTAACTTCTGAGCTCTTCTCATGGTGTATCACCGTAGCCATACTTAGACCAATGTGATGAAACCCTTGTATAATGGCTGTTCCTCATTGTTTGCCTGGGGAGCTGAAACTCCTCCTCAAGTTCTCACTTTAACAAGGTAACTCTCAAGAAGGCACATTCAAAGGACTGCCTGTATGAAAAGTGAAGCAGAACAGTTCCTCCCTGAAATGATGCCTCTGTTACAGAACCAATTCAAACACGTCTAGAGGAGTTAAAATAGAGGGGGAAGAAACACCAAGCATGGTATTATAATGAAAAGTAACTTCATTTGTTCACATGAACCTCTCTGTTCCTCCTCCACCATCAGAAAAAAAGTAAATGAAAATTCTGGAATAACTCACAGAAATTCACTAAATACGACCTTGTGAACAACACATTCCATAAAGTATATGCACACAGTACAGAGGTAAGCCACCTTTTTCTTGAGTAATTACCACAGGAGTCCTTATCCTATGTCCTTTTCATATGAATGCAGCCCATGTGGTATGGATAGTTTTCCCCCTATAATTTTTATAGTTTCTCAGCTTAAAGCCTGTACAACTACCAGAAACTTTACAATTTTTTTGCTATCCTTAAAAAAAACAAACCTGTGTTGACCATTCAATACTTGGTATATGTTAACATTTGTATTTGAATACTGATATCCCAGATGAATTTAGGGAATGTTGGCATTCATTGATTAATCTTCTTTCTGGTCAACAATGTGTAACTAAATGCTTATCATATTGTTTCAGTAACCACTAGTCCATCTCTAAAATTGGTCTGGAACTGCCAGCACTCATTTGTTAATGTCAGTATTTATTACATTTTAGATATTCACCATCTACTCCACTTTCCTTCAAATGTCACACAGAAAGAAAACAGGAACAGAAAGTGTTGGCTTCTTCCTCAGTTAGTCATATGTAATGTTGTATGTTTCCTGTATACATTAATGTGTTTTTTTTTTGGCCCCCCAAAGGGGATTTTTATTGCATTTTTTTAATAACTACAAGTTACAACGAAAAAATAGGGAAGGGTAGCTACATCTAGGGAGAAAGGAAAGAAAACCACTAATAACTAAAATCCCAAGAATAGGAGATCATAACAACAGTTTATGTTAATGTTAGTCTAAAATTGCTAATATCACATTGAACATAGTTGGTTATGCTAAATTATTTATCTTTTTTATCCATTAATTTAACTGTTTAAAGAGAACCTCAAGAGCATCATCAATAATAAAGAAAAATTTTATGGCACAATTCAGAGTCCTTCAGCCTTCATTTTGTTTTATCTTTTCTAATCCTCAATTGATATGCACGTTTGAGGGCAGCTGCCCCCTTTTCAGAAGCAGAATCCTCATCAGAAGACACCGAGGCCAATTCGCCACTGGATTTGCTGTCATCTTCTTCCTTAGCAACTTCGTCTGTCCCTCCCAGTTACAATCTCAGGAACTCTTGTGCTTTGGAGACAGAGTCCATCTTTTCTTTTTTACCGTGTAGTTTGAAAATGATGCCTTCTGGAATTAACCATCTATAGGCAATGCTGTTTGTTTGGAGAAAAAGGATTAAATCTTTATATTTCTTCCTCTTCTGTCTTATTTCAAATGGGATGTCTTTTAGAATCCTGATGGTGTTGTCCCCCATTTTCAAGGGTGCTCCAGTAGTTGCTTTCAGGATTAAATCCCTCACAGGTCTCTTCGAGAATCTAACCACCATCTCCCCAGGCAGATTATTTTTCTTGATGTATACGGAAAAGGCCCTATAGACCATATCCATTTCGCTTACAATATAATCCGCTTTCAAATCTGTAACTGGAGCTAATGCTTCACTCAAGAGTCGCTTTAGATTCTCGTCTTTTAATTCTGGGACTCCTTGGAACCGGAGGATCAAATTTGCTTTCTCCATTTGCAGCTGTAGAAGTTGAGATTCTTCCGAAGCTTGCTCTTTTTCCAGCTTCTGCACCTTTTTCTTAACTTTTTCGGTGTTGGCGTCTATTTCCTTCACCTTCTCAGCAGTTTGCTCCATCATTTTTGAACTTTCAGTCAATTGGAGCTGCTGAGTTGCAAGGTTCTGATTTAGAGTTGTCAGCTGTTGGTTAATGTTGGTCATCTGGTCCAGCAGAGGGCGCAAGGAGTCTGCCAACATTTTGGAGATCTCAGTGACCTCTTCCGGTCGAGGGCTCATGTTCCCCACTAGTTTCACTTTTGCTAGTTTGTCTTTCTCCGTCTTCTTCCCCACCATCTTTATGGATTGTTTACTTTTATAAAAGCTTGCTAAAACCTCTGAAATGTGCCCATGCGCCTATCCGCATCTCAAAACAGATTTCAACACTTTTGCTTCCACTCCCCCCTTAGTATATCATTTCTTAGTTCATGCGTATGGGAGGGGCCCCTCCCCCGCTTGCTTTTCTCACCGCTCCCGGGGGGAGCTTTCTTTTTAAATTCTCGCCTTCGCTTTAACCCGACTCACTGTTCATTGTTGGTCTTACGACCTCACTCGAAACATGTTTCAACCGCTCGATCTCAGACGCTTGTCCAGGTCAGCGGCTCTGGTTCCATACGGACACACTCAGTGGCAGGACCGTCGGGACAAAGGAGCGCCTCAATTCCCCAGCATTGCACTGGTGAAGAGGTCACCCCTCCCTCAAAAACCCCATGGCTAGGAGCCTTTTGCCAAGGCTCCGGGGTGGTGTTGACCCTTCGCCCCCCCCTCCTATCCACTGGTGTGCAGATCACATCCCCGGGAGATGCATCTGCCAGCGTGTCGCCATAAACCAGAAGTCCCCTGTATACATTAATGTTAACTGGCATAACATAAAGATGCCAGCTATTTTATGAACATTTGTTCGTACAGATTTAAAAATCGCTTCAACTTAATCATTTTGCAATGACATCACTGGGCCTGAAACAGAAGCCTCAGGTATGTAATAAAACCAGATAAAGTTTTCACAACAGGGTGCACTTGGATTAACATTTTCCTAGGATGGAGCTACATGTGTTTTCCTGATACAGTGAATGCAAGGGGTACCTGGAAGGATCAGTGGCAGGAGGGGATAGTTAATTCTTCCCTACCCATTATTGTTTTTTCTTTTTTTGCTGCAAATCCCCCTATGCTGTTAATAATGTCTTTTCCCCTCAGTCAGGGTCAGACACCAGAAGTACTCCTGAAGGATAAATAGCCTCTTGTTGGAACCGGCAGGGAAGAATCAAAGGAATCGAAGGTGCTTTACTCCTTTAAAATGCTTTCTCTGCTCTGTATTTGCATGGTTCTTCTCTGGACAAAAGAAAACAGAAAATACTTGCGCGGTTAAGCAATGAAACAGAGTTGCTCTTTTTGGCTTCAAATTTTCTGATCAAGAAAGCAAAGATAAAAAAAAAAGAAAGCAGTGTTAGGAAGGACTGGTCTAACACTCTCATTAAGAATGCTTTCACACATTACATTTTTAACAGGTCCAAATGACCCACTGCCAGCATCTGCAAACATAATACTTGGAGCAACGGTGCCTTAACAATTATTACCTGCACGAAGATACCACATCTTTGCAAATAAAGCCCTGATCATCTTTCAGTGCATATCTGCTAAGATATGCAAGTGGTCTTCAGATTCACTGCCATGTAAACACCTACATACACCAATGGATAATCACAGTATTTTACAAAAAGGAAAGAACTCCCATACAATTCATTATGTGAGCGATACATTTTGTAATTTATGAAAAGTGAAGCACGAATATGTAATTTCTAGGAAATCCTTGCAAGCCAGTCAACTGAATACTTGTGTACAACTGTATTAGATGTGCCTGAAATTACTTGGCATCAAGCCAAGTCATGTCTATTACTCCTATTTTAAAAATTCTAAGGAGATTTCCTAACACTGCTTTTAAGATGCAGGATAAATACTCTAAATTAAGGTACATATTTAAGCAGTCTGTTTGCCAGTCTTCTTATTTTGACTGCAGCACTAGAGACCAAGGTCTACCACAACTCTCAAAACACAAGGTCTTTGGTTTTACAAGGGAAACAGCAGCAAAACCTCAAGGTTTTGCTTTTTAAAAAAAACAAAAACCCTCAAAGCAACTGCTACTGCCAAAACACTCTTAAATTCCTTGCTAGCTCTTACCATAAAGCAATTGGAAGAAAGACCCTGAAAACATGCTTTGCAACTCTGAAAGACAGCTGAAGAACTTGTATTTTAAAAAGCCAAGAAAGGATACAAAAGCTCCAATGATGAAAATGGGGCTGAATATGTGCTTCTGGAAAGTAAACAGGGCTAAACCCATATAAGAAAATATGAAATTCTCAGCCAGGAAGTGGAGTACTTCAAAGAGCTGTGGAGAAAGATGAAAAAGTGTATTAGCCTGCTAGAGGACTTTAATATAGTTCATACTTCTTACAAATAACATACTTCCTGCATTCAAAGCAGTCAATTTTAAACAAACGAACTCAAATGGATATGAGAGCTGTAAAATCAGGGTTTAGGACGAAGCCCATAATTTTGTAACTTCCATTTTTACTAGTGTTGTGCATACAAAACTGCCGCTCTGGATTACCATCTGGGTTTCTTCCCCCATCAGATTATTTTTACCCTTTGATGCTGACTCACCTTCCTAAATATAAAAAAGTACAGACAGCATAAAGGAGTAGCTGAAGAGATACATGACCATAGGAAACCAGGTCTTTAGAACTCACAGCAGACCAGAGAGCAGGCCAAAGGAAAGGAGATGCCACATGGCTGTGGTAACATATAAAGGGGCTCTTTCAGGGATGTGGTATTTCTTGGATTGTACCACCCAGATGACAGGTAGGGGAGTACGTTTTATGGCTAAGCAATAATGACTCTACCAGCCTACTGGTTTTGTTAAGTGCAGGGAGCTTTTCCAGATGAGAGGGCACTCATAAGGAAGGCTACAATCCAGAAGAAAACTCTGCAGCAGATGGTTTGCCCAGTTGTATTTGAATAAACGCAGTACAGGCTCTGTTATTTACAAGCACAGCAGGAGAGAAGGAAAGGAAAGAGAGGGGAGAGGGGAGCATCTCACCTGCTTGGTTCGGCTTCTTGACTCAACTGATAAATTGTTGTATGTGTAATGAGCCTGCGTAATTCCACAGAACAGAACAGCTACCACACCTGCCATGAAAAGCAGCATATCCGGTAACTTCAAATGATGCAGATAATTCCCCCCCTAGCTTTAGCACATTAAGTTTCATACCTTCTTTCAATTTCTTTTGTTTCATGGAGGGAATAGCTAGGATGCTGCTCTGACTGACTCCATGGTACTTTCTTACATATACCCTAGGACTCAGTTCTGCTGCCAAAAGCAGATTCCAAAACTGAGCCCTCAGGCAAGTTAACTCCCAAGCATTTTAAGTGGTTTTTTTTTAAAAAAAGCGATTGAGTATTTCCACATACTGCAAAAATCAATCTACAAGTGTCACCACCGGGCAAGATGACTACTGGATGGGAAACAAGTTGGAAAGACTCCACGTTTGTATATAAAGATCTATTCATCCAGTATGTATTAGTCTGTGGATAGATACTACTTATCCACATTGCTCCAACATAAAAAAAGGAACAGTCACTTCTTTCCACAAGAATAATAGCACCAAGAACCACCTTCAAGGACTAGAAATGCAAACACAGAACATTTGTATAGATTTAGATATATCTATATTTTTTTTTAAAAAAAATGGATTTGTATCCCACCCTCCCCTTAACTATCAGCACAGTATATACATTCTCTTGGGATTCATGATTCTACTATTAACACAGTGAAAATTAAACACCTACAGATCTGAAGAACTGTGCAAGTAGTCCCTCGCACCCAAGGGGATTTTGAGCCTTTATTTCTTGTATATGCAATCCCTCAGGCCATATAGCAAATCAGTTTTGAAAACTGAAAGGACTTTAAAGAACAGCTAATGATACGGGCTTTGGAGGTCTGTGGTTTCAAATTAAAAATCCTACTGAGTATGCCTGAAATAGCTCTTCAGAAATGAAGAAAGCACCCTTACTGCTATGTGGTGACCAGTTTTGTAAGTCGCTAAATTCCCTTAGAAAAGTTGTTGGCCGATCCAAGCTGATTCCTCAATTAAGTGAAAGCATTCCGCAAAACAATAGGACATGAGATGACTTGGGCTATTAAAGCAAAATCCCAGGCAACTGACCATCTTCTACAAAGAGATCAATTAGTTCTAGACAGTGAAGATGAACTTCCACTTTCAGGACCCAAAAACAGTATGCCACTTATTCTGAGTTAGAATTGTACTAATGGAATTAAAATGTAACCCAGATTCACACCGTAAATTTGTTCAGGGTCTGTGGCCCACAGAAACATCTCGAGTTCTTTAAGACTGTGGTGCAGGTTTCACCTGACAGATTTTGACAGATGACAAAATCAACAGCCAGCTTCCAGGAGAACCGTTCTGATACTCTACTGATCAGGCTGTCAACTCAAAACTGCTTGGTTCCAGGACTACTCATCTTTCAAGACATCTTACCTGTAAACCCACAAGCTTCAGCCAACAAGAAGGTGCTCCAGGACATCAGGAAAAAGAGTGCCGTCTCCAGCAAGGGGAAGCAGTGCAGCTTTGTAAACTTTGTTACGTAATTATTTTATTAAGGATGCAAAAAAGGTCTTCCAGCTATCAGTTATTTATCTTAGAAAATATATATGCCACCTCCCCAGATATCTGTTCAAGGTAGCTCACAAATTAAAAACAACCAGTAAAATAGTAAAATAAACCATAGAAGTAACAGAACAAACTATAAAAAGCATAAAAATATTCACCAGCCTACAATGATACTAGTAAAAACAGTCTTCAGGCTAGAAGCATCAGAATAGCAGCAAACAAAGACAGAACTCCTCAGTTAGTCTGCATGTGTGAATACTGAATATGAGGAGAGTCAATGCGATGCAGTAAATACTGAGATAAGCCCACTGGTTCTGCCCAAGCTGGTCTTTTTATGAATGTTTCCGGGTCAAGCCTCAGCCTTTATCTAGAAACCAACCAGGTTCTGGCCTCAACCTGGTGGCTTCCTAGTTTCTTTCTGGATCTCAGTCTATCCTAAAGGATCCTTACCGCACTGTTTTTCACCCTGTTTTCTTTTCTACTTGCTGTCTCCATGCTTTCCTACTACAGCATCCATCAGAAGAAGCCCTAAATTTTGACCTTAACCTGCAACTGTTTTGCCTCCAGATTGATCCTCCTGTTAGCTCCTAGGTTAGCCAGGAACCCCTTTTTGAACATGACACTACAAGTTTTTAAGTGACAAGATATTCACCCCTGTTCTATAGATAGCATATCTAGGGAAGCACCAGTTAACAGCAATTTTTCCCACTTCTAAAAACCAGCAGTTAATGCGTAAATGCAAGTTTTATAAAAAGGATATCAGGGCTGTCACAACCCCCGTCACTGCTCCCATCATGAAAGAGCCACTGAAAATTCCAAGGAAGACTCCGACAGATTTGAAAAAGGCTGCTGCATCAAAAGCATGGACGTTCCCCCCTGTGGGCTGATAGGCTACAATGGATCTAAAGGAAAGAGAGAGTGAAAGGAGCATTAAAGCAATATTTATTTCATTATGCAACTATCATCACAAGTAGGGATGAGCACGAACCAGCTGACAAACTAAAGTTCATCATGAATTTGGGCCAGTTTGTGGTTCATATATTTATATATTTATTTATACTTTCGATTTCTTAGCAATGTTCGTGAACTGCCGTGAACTTTCATGAATTTTAATACAGTTCCTGGTGGTTCCTGGTGGTTTGTGCAGAACAGAAAGGAGTGGGTTAAACCAGGGGCTGTCCGTCCAATAAAGCCCCTAGAGACAGATGAGCCACGGAGGCAGCCTGCTCCCCCCCCCGCTCAGTTCTTTAGATCGGAAACAGCTGAGCCATGGAGGCAGCCTGCTCCCACAGCTCAGCTGTTTAAAGCTGGACACCACTGATCCACTCAGCTGTTTTGGGCATGAACCAGATTTGTAAGGTTTGTGCCTGTGGGTGAGCCATGAACCAAACTGAACTGCATTTTTTGTGGTTCGTGTCCACCACTAATCACAAGAGTTAGACAATTCTCATCTCCTTGATGGCTCCTGAACATTTTCAACCAAATGCAGAGACATTAGCCTATCACAAGTCTAATTCACATGACAGTAAGAAAGCTGAAAATTTTATTTTGCCCAGCTTCATGCCAGCTGATTTTTACTTACGAAGACAGAACAATGGCAACAGCATCATTTAGAACACTCTCTCCAAACAGCAGTGCATACAGATCAACATCAGCGTGCAGTTCGTTAAAAATTGCCAGTACGGTGACTACAAGTAAAAAAAGGGGAGGAGACTTAAAATTGGTATTATGTATGATTTTGAACAAGGAAGACTATGATTTCTTGTTTCCAACAGCAACAGAACAAGAATATGACACTGACATAGCTAGGATAGGGGAAAGAAACTGAAACAGCCTTCCACAACTTTTGTCTAAGGCCCAATTCCTCATGATCATTTTGCATGTGCCAATGACATCGAGCAAGGACTTGTCCCTTGTGAGTCAAGTGTCCCAGTCAAGTTTAATCATGGTTGTTCCTCCACAGAGGCATACAAATCAATAGTGAAATTGTATGAAATAAGTACTCTACTAATCACCATGCAAGAACATGAACATATCCAATATTAACATCATAACTGGATCTTAAGGGAAGTTTTAGAAACATTCAGTTTCTGCCCTCTGTGATGACTTAAACACTTCAACAATGACAGTAGATGAGAACAGCACATCTGTAAGCCTTTTGCCCTTCTATGTATGATTAATAGCACTTGGAAATGTGAAGACAGTATTCAGTTGTCAAGACCTGGATAGAACAGACATACTCAACACAGATAATTTTAAGCCTCCTATAATAGAGTTTTGCAAGCTTGTGTACCCCCCCCCTTCAGTTGCAGTTAGGAAAGCCAGGTTGTAAGCTTCAAGCAAAAGTCCTGGTAAGAAGCATACAACCTTTTCTGAGACTTTGAACTAGAAACTCATGCATAAAAATTTCAAAGATGTATTATGTTAGTGCAAGTATGCTTATGCAAGTCTACTTAACTGTGGGTCAATTTTAGCCTCTTGCTAAACATTTGCAGTCCATGGAGAAATTCAGAACACCTATTCTCTGCTCCATTTTCCATCTCTATCACAATGATGTTGAGGGTGAGAGGAAACTGCTGCAGCAAAGCTCCTTCCCTTATCACCAAGGTAACAAGCAAAACCATAGGATAGCTCCTCAGCACTCCAGCATGCCTCCAGTTTCTGGGAAGCAAGGTGTTGCTAAAAGTGAGCTGCTCTCACACAGGCTGAGGCTTCTCACGTTACCTTGGCAGTACAGAAAAGATCCCACACTGCCAGTGCATCTGAAAGACTAAGCTAAAACCTAGGGTTGACATTAGGGATGGACATGAACCAGCTCAAAAACTTAAGTTCGTGACAAATTTTGGACAGTTCATGGTTTACGAACCGAAGTTTGCAAACTGAACAGCCACCACAAACTCCCATGATTTAAGGCAGTTCATGGGGGTGGGTGAAGAGCAGAAAGCAGGGGGTTAAATGGCTTGGAGCATTTAAACCCCTGCTTTCTGCTCCCCATCTCTTCTTGTGGGGAAACCTGCTTTTTGCTCCCCACAAAAAGTGGCAGCGAGCAGAAAACAAGAGTTTAAATGGCTCTGAACCATTTAACCTCCTCCTTTCTGCTCCCTGCCAAAAGTGATGGGGAGCAGAAAGCAGGTGTCACAAACAGCTATGAACTGGTTCAGTTTGTGAATCAACCTCTTGGATCGTGGTTCGGCTACAAACCACAAACGAAAACAAACTGAAAAAATGTGGTTTGTGCCCATCCCTAGTTGAGACAGGAAAATGTTTGCATCTGCATTGATCCTTCAGCAGTTTCCCAGGTAGTTTCAGCCAGTCAACCAACCATGTTGCACATCCCCATTCTGTGCATTCTTCTGCAGTTTTGCAAACCACATTTCTACTTCAGGCCTTCTGGAAAGGGCAGCAACTACATATGAATTTCAGAATTCAGTAAGAAGCCGCACTTCAACACACAAGGAAAGTCAGCTAGGTTAGACATTCACTCTTCTTTATCATAATTATTGCATCTGGAGGAAATGAGAAATAACGTCAAACATCAGACCAATATTTCTTATCACACGTATGCATATTTCTCCCAGATGGCACATCATAACAAAATAGATACATATGATAGCTAAATTAGCATGAAGGTACCAGTAATAACAAAAGTATTTTAAGTTCTTAAAGTCTGTACTGCACAATACCTGGATCAGTAGCAGATATAATAGCTCCAAAGAGAAGACAATCTGTGTAGTAGAATTTATCAGACAGCTGCCCCACCAGCTTCATTAGTTTCACAACACCATACATAAGATTCCTACAAGGGGGGGAATTATGAAGCAAATTATATTTTTACCGTGACTATAATTCAGATACTGAATTTAGTGTACGACCCCCCTTCTTATACAAATTTATGTTACATATGTCTCTCTTCCAGGGATCTGTCCTATGACTGACAACATAGCATATATTGCATACCAACTGAGAACCAAGTCGCATGGAATCAAATAGCACTTATTTTCAAGTAAATACACACAGGAGTTAAACCTTGACCCCTTTTTTGTTATTCGGCTCAGTGAAAGGGGAGGGAAAAAACAGAAAACTCTGTCCTAAAGACAACAGTTGAATCTAAAGTATCACTAGTGGACTGAAGCTCATGGAACCAGAATTCCTGTCTCTTCCCTACCACTGTATCCCCATGGGGACCAAGACATCAGAGGCCAAGGGTCTGTGGAGGAAGGGGTGTTCAGCAAAATTGCCTTTTTGCCTCCAAGGAAATGCCACTTTGCTAAGGCAATAGCTATTGTAAAAGAACATTTTGGTTCCTACTCACTGTAGAAAATTTTAGGGAAGGGGAAAAATACTGCCTCATTCATAGGAATTACATCATGTAGTATTCACTATCAAGTACCTAATATGAAAAACTGTTAACTGATTATAAGTCAATATAATATATTTCTAGTGGGTGCCCCCTCGCCTTATGGGACCCTACTTTCAGACAACTAGAATAAAACTTATTTTTACAATGGGGCTAGAGATTCTATAACTTTCCTTCCTAGTTTTTTTGAAATTCACAAAATGCCATCACATTATCTCATTATAAGGGGGAAAAACTTGTTAAAAGATAATGAAATTGATCTACTATTGAATGAAAAAACAAAAGCCTCACTCTTTAATTTAGAGAGAGAGCGTGCAACAGCCACCTCAAACTGATTTTTGTAATAATTTTAACTATTTTGGAAAATTTTGGAAAAATCAAGTCAGTCCAAGCAGAACTTAAGTAATAAGTAGGCAAAAATTACACACCAGGAATCTAATAGTTTCAGAAAATTCACTTACCCAATAATGAAACAAGAGACTGCAGTTCCAAAGAAGGCATAAGCCAGAATAGACCCCAGATTTCTGAAGAAGTGTCTCTGAAAGAAAAATGGGTTAGATGCAAACATATAAAATATTCATTAAAACCTCTTCAGTGAGATACTAAAGCTACATTCCGCTTATAAATACAGATGTTCTGAATTATTTGGAAGACTGAGACACCGTTGTGTATGAACCATACTTGCTGCAATATGCTTTATGATAGTCTGGCATAGTGGCTTCACTGGGCAGCACCCCAGGTAGCCTCAATGCGCCTCTGAGAACTCTTTGCCCCCACAGTCGGAATAACGAGACGAACAACAGTTTAGATCAAACAAGGGCCACTTTATTAACTATATACAGTTTATTAACCAAAAACGGCAAGGGAGCAATTCCTAAGTAGCGGACAAGGCAGGTGTCAGGCTGACCAGCCTCCTTGTCTAATATGTGGGCGAGCCACCAACCCTGGTCTTGAGCCATTAATCTGGCTTGCGACCAGCAGCCCAGCCCCTGGTAGCCTCCCAGGAGTGCCTACCCCTGAAACCATACAGCTTGCAGAGAGGAGCTTACCCAAGAGGTTCCCAGAGGGAATCATCATTCACCGCCTAGGGCCTTAATAACCCGCAGGCCGTTCCTGAAGACCCCCCAGTTCCCAAAACAAGGAACGGCTTAAGGTGCTCACCATTTTTCCGCTTCCTTATCCCTGCACTATTCTGCCAAAGTGACCAACCTATTTAACAGCCACGCCCCAACCCGTTGTTCCGCTGCCCCAGTGTAAGGTAGGCGAAAACACCACCACCCCATTGCCAATCCTGGGTAATGGTGAAAAATTCCTACCTGGCCCCCTTGGGCAACCAGCCTCAGCCTACACTAGAAACAGGGCCAGTGGGTGGGCAAGCACGAGGCAGCAACTGCCCTGGGCGGGAGCGGAGCCGAACCTAACTAGGCTGGCTCCTCCCCCCCCACGTCTCAGAGCGCTGTGCTGTGACGCTGTTGCCGCCCTGCCTTCCTCTGCGGCGGCAAACCAGGCCCCGGTCACCATTGCTTTCAGCGGCGACCAGGAACTCCCTTCTGGTTCACCAGAGAAGGCTCATAGCAGGGACCACCATGGGTTTGCAAACAGTGTAGTTTCTGGGTGCTCTTAATGCTTTTGGCTCAGGAAGAAAAGGAGAACAGTGATGAGATTTCTGGCTTCTGCTTAGCTCAACAACCCAGCCCTTCAAAGAAATAAAACCACCTCCAAAAACAAACAAACCCCCCTCTGATCAAGCTGGCACATCAAGCAATTTGTGAGGAGGCTTCATCAATGGACTCTTAGAAAATTATTCCATCCTTTCATTCTGGACGTCCTAAAAACAAAGGGCTCCCCCACCACTGTCCAGAAAGGACAGCTCCTCATATTTCTGATGTGAGCCTTCAAGAAACCATCTAAAACAGCACCTAGCAGAAATCTGCTAGGGTACACAAAAATTCTTCCAGTATGACTTACCTGGTCACATGGTCACTATGGTCCATGGCACCAAGCTGTTTAAGGGTATAAACCTCAGATGAAACCGTGCATACCAGAGATGAAAATGTAGTAAGCCAGCTGGATAAAAACATGAGGTGGCCCTATAATTCCCCTTTGCTGACTACAGGAGGGGAAACACACAGCCTGTGTTTTTAGGGAACTCCATCTACCACAGTCAGCAAAAGAATCTTGAGAACTAACAATTTTAAGATGTTTCTATAGCTCTTTTTGACACTAATGCCAAGACAGATTGACTCTAATTGGCCCTTCCTGGAAACTAACCCCCTTTTCTTACATGTAATGGTTGAGGAAATTCTTCACTGAAGAAGTGTGCTTACCCATGAAAGCTTACACCTTGAATAAAACTTTGTTGGTCCTAAAGGTGCCACTGGACTCAAACTGTGTTCAGCTAACCTGCAAGTTAGGCCAACCGAAACAGCAACGTGGCCACAGCTATCCAAACCACAAGAAGATTTGACCCAGGATTTTTCCAGATCAGAACTCCATCTAGTAACTGTGCCTCATTAAGTATCTTGATATAATGGAACAGAAGAGCCAAAATAATGCAGTAGTTGGCACCTGGGGCCCTAGAAGACCCAGGTACAATTCGTCATTCTGGTATAGACGCTTGATGCACAGCCCTGGGCCAGTCATGATCTCACACGTTTCTTGCGAGGACAGCCTGAGTAGAGAATGTTGTAAGCTGTTTTCTACTCGCTTTGGGGAGAAAAACAGAGTACAAGTAGGTAGCTAGCTAAAGAAATAAAGCTGCTAGTCTCATATTTGGCTGCTTGGCTTGCTTAACTTCTTTCCAAAACAAGCCAGCTGCAGAGTTTAATGCTCTGGCTTCTGCTTAATTGTACTCAACTCTTAGAAATGTCAATTTGGTCTATTTGTTTTGCTGTTGTAAATATTTGAGAGACTTGGTTATCTGTATGCTTTGTAGGTCTTGTGTTCTAAAGATAAAAGAGTAGAAAATTCTATTGTAAACTTAAAATCACACCCATATGACATCTTATCAAGAGGAACCTTAATCCCGTTTCCAGTAAGAAACTCCTCTCATGAAGAATCCATGGGCCTATTAGTATGCTCAGTAATAGGCCTGTGGCCAATGCTGTACAGGGAACTTCAGGCAGGCTCCTGGACTCCTGAACCCTTGTTCTGAAAGCAGCCCTTGCACAACTTAACACATGTCACAAAAGCTGGGGAACCCTCAAGAACAGCCTACAACACAGAATGAGAAGCTGTGACTGAAGAAGACAAATGAGCATGGTATATTGTGGAAGTTCTCTGAATTCTGGCCTTCAGGTTTCCATGCTACACATTCTGATGCATAGAACCAATACATTTTAGGTACTTTAAAGTAACCGTGTCAACCACCAGCTGGCCAAAAGGCCAATCTCGATCCAAGAGGCCATCAGTAACTCAATTCCAGTTCTCAGACATCAGAGACTGTATGCAAGACTGAGATCCACCCAGACAAAAAACACTGTCCAGAAAATGCTTTGGGCTCACCTTTTTCAAACTATAACCAGCATGAAAAATAATAGGAGGCAGGAGAATGTTGAAGAACACTTCTGGGTCAAAAGTTACCTGGAAACGAGAGAAAGAGAGCTCTAAGACCAAGTTTCCTGAGAGCTAAAAGTTGCCAAGGTTTTGAAGATACACATTTTCTCATGTCAATATCCCTCAATCACATCACTGTAAACTATTCAGAGACTGATGTGCCTTGGGAAAGAAGGTCTCTTTCAACAGGGTGTAGGTGACTTCAACTTTCTAGCAAAGAAATTATCTGTAATTCAGAATACATGTACACATTAGTTTACATTGTATTATTGTTGTGCAATAGTAGGTATTGGGACTGGTGTCACCATACCCTTAGGTGCAGCATCTGACAGGGCCCACTGCTATTGATACCTCCCCCTACCCACATGCTTCCTGTGCCATGCACTTGTGTACCCTTCTCCTACCTACCCATTTCAACTGCTCCACATCCTATGTTCCTGTCTGCCCCAACTGCCCAGCACCACCAGGGAAGAGTGTGCATGTGGTGCAAGCACTCTCAGCCCCACAAACTGCCCAGTGCTGATGAGGAAAAAGCATGTAGGTGATGGTGAGCATGGGCAGTGAGAGGGAGGTCATAAGTGGGGCATGAGAAAGATGCACAGATAGGCAGGGGGATCAGAAGCATGGTGTGAGCTGAACTCATGGTAATAGGCTGAGGAGGAAAGGGGGGCCCCTGGCCACTCTGCCCAAGGCTCCTCAAAACCTGGAGCTGGCCCTGGTAGTCATTCACTGTCTAGTCCACACAGGAAAATCCTGTTACTAATTATGGCTAATGCATGACAATCAAACATGCAACAACATGTAGACGCAATCTAATACACCCACTTTTTTGGATAGGTGGTTTATTTGTTGTCATTAATCCTGCAGCCACTTCACCCTTAGATAATTAACCCAATTACAGTCTCCATGTTTGAACGAAATGGATTTCAGACCCTGCTCTGTGTAGTTTACTATTAGAAATTGTGACTTTTGCTGAGACGGCAATTGTACAGCAACGGATGACTGTTGTGTATTTCAGGAAGAACATCTAACCACAAGTAATTGTGAACACTGGACAAGCACCTCTTAATATTGAGAGAAAGCTTTTGTTAAAAGGATCAGCTTATCAAATTAATTTTTACAACAGTAGGCCCCACCCATGAGAGAACCCCAATGATAATTGACCCTAACTAACATTATGGGGTGAGGAGAGGCATGAACTGGGGTGAGGAGAGGCATGAACTGCTGGATTTTTGATCCTATTTTGTGGGAGTGCTCCAATGGCTTTGGAGAATCTGTGGATTCAGCTAAAGGAACCCAGAAATTGGTGTGTCAACTGAAATATTAACTTTGCTAGCTGAGTTAAGATAAGCAGCTGCTGAGATGCCCATGAGAATCAGAATGCACAGGACTGGGTTTCATAAGCAAGGGAAAAAGACCCCCCACACATACTGTTAACATTATGCTATACAGGAATACTTTTCCTTGAACTCTAGCCTGAAATTCATCATTAGAAGTCCACAGAATGCACTGCTGATTGCTGAGAAAGCAAAAAGTCCCCAGGACACAGGTGAACACCTGCAACTCTAACAGGAAGACCAGTCTCATAAGAGAGAAGGGCTTGGACCAACATGTTCTTTTGTGGTACTGGTAAGATGTTTTGCAGTCTCCTGGGTACCAAAGTAAAAAAAAGAATGATGGAAAAATTAAGTCATGCCTCTGTCTCCACCTCTTCAGAGTGATGTGCCACCACCCCTGCCCAAAAGAAATGTAGAAAAAGCCAGGAGGAAAGCAGGTTTGGTATATAATAGCCTTTCTTTTGATAACAGCAGATTTCCTTTTCAGGCCAGAAGGAACCTTTTTTGTTTAAGGTCCTCTTGCTTCAGAGATCTTCGGGGACTTCCAAAGTACTATCCTTACCTTACTCTGCCCTCCTCTCCTCCTACTTCTCATTCTCCTCCTACTTCTCTAGAGTCAGAGAGCCGAGAGGCTCACAAACCTGTGAAGAGTCCTGCCTCTTGAACATTCTTGGATCCTTGGATGGGTAGCTATGAAATTGCATCAGCTTGCTTGCTAGGAAACTGAGCTAAAACTGGAAGGACAGAAAGGTGGTAGACTAGCAACTAAAGGTTTAACATTTAGATTTGGATAGGCTAATATGCATTAAGTTTGCTCTCATGTTTGCAACTTTTTGTTTCAAGAATATTCACAAGGTTTAGTGGTTTGTGGTTCATCTCTCCACTATCTAGTGTGTCCTCTACTGGGCTGAAACTGATTTAGGATTGTACATTTTTTGCTCATGCTTTAGTATTGCCTATTTATCTGTTGATATTACTTTCTGTAACTATTTGCATCTTTCTGATGGCTTTGCATCCATGCCTTTTTCATATATATTCCTGTATCATGCATCTGATTCAGTCTGCAGTGTACAGTCAGATTTAGTAATGCATTGTGCAGTAATGCCTTCCAATAAATCATTTAATTCACATCAGGAACACTTTGGGATCTGTGCCTTCCTACTGACAGCTGCATACCCATTGGGTTGATAAGAACCAATAAAAATAGAGGTCCCCTGCTTAAAGGGACTGAATTAACACTGATGGTGCAAAAGTGGTGGAATTCACACCTGGCATGTGGGAGGCCTGAGTTCGATCCCTGTTAATTCATGTGGAGATGAATGAAAGGTGGTTCTCAAGAGCATATAGTATCACCATCCTTGGTTTCTAAAACCAGCAGGGAAGGGTGGAAGCAACCCCCCCCCTCTATTAGTAAATAGCTTTTGAAAACTACTGAACTGCTACGAAAACATTGTCAATTCTGTTATGCTGACAGCACTACCCGTAACACAGAGAAATACAGTGGGACACAATTATTTCCTGTATTCAGCCTCGGAAAGTGGATCAGCACACAAACAAATTCAAAAGGTAGTTCTTACTTTCCTCAGCATGTCATTCTGTTCCACATTGTGTATTTTCCCAGGGCTTATTTCTCCTTTCAGTGTATATTCAAAATATTTTCCACTGATGTTGACCAACAGGGTTGTAAAGGCTCGATTCTGCTGGGAGCAGCTGAATGCCTTATCTTGGCCACTGACGGAAGGGGCGCCATACCTCAAGATGACTCCAACAATCAGCCCTGAAAGACAAAAATGTTAACTTTTGTTTATGGTGTGAACACAACATTGGAGTGAATCAGGTAAAGATTACAACATTTCTTCACAGTGTAACTTTCGAATCATAGCCCTATTCAGGCATTCGGGATTCTTTGGTAAAAGCTGACTTACGGTCAGAAGGCAGAGGGTTGTCAGGCTGCAGGCTGGCTCAAGCCACTGCTTCTACCATCAGCCATCTCTGATTCCAACTGAATCACCATCTGTTTGACTGTCCCTCTCACCAACATTCCATCGGCTCCCACTGTTGCTCTCAGGGAGAGGTGGAACTGTCAGGCAACATGCTGGCTCAAGCCACTGCTTCTACCCTTAACCATCTCTGATTCCAACTGAACCACCATCTGTTTGACTGTCCCTCTGCACCAACATTCCATCAGCGAGAGGTGGAACTTCATCTGTCACACCAACTTTTTAAACACATTGCAAGGACACTCTTTTATATCACATGCATGCAACACACAAAAACAATAGGCAACATACACAGTGTCCTGACTAAGGAACAATGAAAATGAATCAGGGTAAGTCTTTGCAGCATCAGTACTGGTATTGGGATGAGTTAGCATAAAAGTTTTGTGAGAACATGTACCTAGTAAGGCATTATACAAGCACTTTGCCCTAGGAACATTCTTTCAGAGAATTTCTTGCAACTAAGTTATGGTGAGTATATGCCTTCAAAAGTTGTAGAGTTGTATAAATTAATTGTGGCTAAATTATGATGATGTGTTACATTTTATTGTTACATTTCATAGATACATTGGTGAATATTAATGAAATTTTTGATACCTACTTGTTGAAATGACAGACCAAGAGTTGCTGTATGTAAGGTTTGAAACAAACTTTTTATCGAATTTTTGTATCTACATGTACCAGAGATTCTTCACATAATATTATTATTGCATATGATTTATTAAGGCTTTCATCCACTTTCGGAAGAAGAATAGTATTGAAACGATAGAACATTCCAGAGACCATCGTCACACCATTTTCAATTGCCTTGTGCATTTATATATGTAGATTTTTTGTACACATTTTTGTATAAATTTTGTGAACACCATTTTCAGTTACCTTGGGCATTTATATATGTAGATTTTTGTACACATTTTTGTATAAATTTTGTGATTGTTATTTAAATATTTTCTAGCGCAGTTACCTCACAGTTTCTTCTTTTTTTGGTAAGGAACAATTCCACCATGTCTCAAGCTGGAGAAATGCAGCCCGGGGGAGGGGGGACCTGTTCCCCCATGTATGTTTTTCCAAATATGGGGGAAACCATGAGAAAAAACTCCTATGATTTTTTTCTTTTTTGAAATGAGCGAAATGTGTTAAAACAGCTTAGGATGAAGCCATCTGAAGCTCTCTTTGCTTTAGTATTGTGTGTATTTATAATTCCACTCATAGAAAAACCAAGACACTTGTAGTTTTAAACTCCATAAATATGACAATTAATACAATTTTACATGATAAAGTAGCAATTATGCATTTCATGTTAAAATCAGAAAAATGGGTTTCAGTTTGATAGGAAAGTACTGCATAACCTCTCGAAACTTCTGTCCCCCCATGTTTTCCTTAGCTTCAAAATTCTAATAAATTTTACATCTCTAGGTGGATCAAAAGGGTTTCAAGAAATATAATTAAATAATCAACTGGTACACAGGACTGGAACACCACTGGCCCGTCTAGCAAAATAACTAGCAGCAATTCTGTCTAAGGCAGATGGCTTTCCCAATGAAGTGATTTGAGATTCTTTTGAGTGGAGGTTCCAGGGACTGAGCTGGGAACTTCCTGCACACAAAGTAAATATTCTGCCACAAAACTATGGCACCTGATGCTCAGTGATCAAAATCAGCCTCTTTTCTGGTCCCAGGTAAAGAGGGAAAAACCCAGAACCACCATATACATTAGAGTCTGAAAGCCCTTCGGGAAAAGGGCAAGTTCAGCTGTACATACAGTCTATACAATCTACATTGCTACAGAATGGTGTGTTTAAAATGTATCGAGATATACTTATCTGTTACTTAAAAGGAAGTTATTTTTAGTAGAATGCTGATAAGGATGCAAAAAAAGGTTGGGAGGAGGGCCTTTCAATTAAAATATATTTATACTGCCTTTTGTCACCCATGGGGAACCCAACCTTTTGTCACCCATGGGGAACCCAAGACAGCTTACATAAATCATTATTCCCAACATCTCATAATGCAACCCCAAAACTTCTCAAAACCATATCTCTTTAAGACCCAAGGAACATATAAACTGGGAATCTAAAACAGGCAACATAGAATATCCCAGACACCTGATTAAATTTAAACAAAAGCCCTTCTAAATAAGACTGCTTCGCACAGACTATGAAAAACAGAGATGGGGATATGAATAGGGCTTCCTCTGCTAACCCATTCCAGAGCGCTGAAGCCACCACTGAGAAAGCATTAGAACAGGCCACCATGGCTGCTACTGCCCTGTGTGGAAAGAGTCAGTATGTGGGTACCAGGTCACACAAGGCTTTGAAGGTTAAAGCCAACACTTTAAACTGAACCCAGAGAGATTTAGGCTGCCAATGCAAGTGTTCTAAGAGCAGGGCAATAAACTGAACCTGGCACATCTACAACTCTGCCTCTGAACCACTTAAGCACCCAGAACATAATCTGTACTCTAAAAGATATTACCCCAAAGCTATGTTCTGCAGGAAGAGATCTCAGTATAAATATGGGAATTCCATCTTTCACCAAGAGGAAGCGTAAGAGGAAGCAGTAATCAGCAGCCGATACAACAGATGCAAACTGAAATAATAACCCTGAGGGGAGACAGAAATAGCGCGGACAGAAGTTAGCATAAGCAATGAAGAGAAGTAGAAGCGGGGGGGGGGGGGGGGGGGAATGGCAACATAATGAATGGAAAGGACAACATCACTGCAAGAAGATTTCGGAGATCAAACTCTGCATCAACAAAGAAACTTAACTGTATGTGTTTAGATGCCTTAAGGAACTCTGGCTATCAGGGGTCATTTTCGTAGAAAAAGAGCTAGGGGGACTCATTAGCATAACTCATTAGCATATGCCACACCCCCTGACATCACCGGAAGTGTGTCCTCCCCACAGCCGGCGGCGACCTCCAGCGGGCACCAGCAGGGAGCTCCAGGCCCCGCCCTCCCGCACCTCACCCGGGGGGATGGTGTCCCCCCCCCGTCCCCCCCCCAAATGACCCCTGCTGGCTATAGCCTGGATGGTAACTACAGCAATAAAAATAATATTCTTTTTGGAAGGTGGAAAAAGTTCTCTTCCCATTAAATGCCTCTAACGCTTTTCATTCAAGCCCCATAGCCATGGAACCAACATGCAGATATCCAGCATCAAACTTGTTCCAGAGCTAATACAAGGAACAACTGCAAGATGTAACAAGGTCCAGCAGCTCTGCCCTGTTGCATGTTGTTTCAGCTTAGATGGCCAAGGGAACCCAACTTTACTGGAACATTGAGTTGTTTTGGTAACCCAGGGAATTCTGAGTGGGCCCTACCATTTCATTTTAGAAATTTAACATCTGGAAGATGTGCCACTTGTACTATATTTCATAATACGTAATACCCAAGTGTTGAGAAATGGACTAATTTATGGTTTTATATCTGCTACACAAGCAACACATGGACTGTGCACACATCTGTATACCATAGGCCAAAGGAAGCTGTTTGCATCACCTACTGTGAGAGAATTCACATAGGGAACACTTGCCTGCATTTTATACACATTCAGCTCAAAGGCTAATGGGAAGAAGAAGCACATGTTAGCCATTGTGAGCAGAGACAACAACCAAGAAGGAGAAATTCCCCCATTGCTGAAAAGACTAGATGTCACACAGAAATCGGACTTGATCTGCATTTGAATTGCAGTTTCCTGTTGATGGTACCTTGTTCGCCTGGGAAAGCCAAGATTCATCTGTACTTCGAAGAGGATACAGGACGCTGAAACTTCACACCTAGCCAGATGGTATTCCATGAGATAGAGTGTAGAGTTTCAAATATCACCCCACCCATAGAATACCTGCCCCTCTTCTACATGCACCAATGAGGGAGGTCATGGGATGGACTTGTAAGTAGGTGGGATTGCAGTTTGGCAAGGTGCCACACACCTGGAGATTCAACTATAAAACGCAAAGATGTCCACTAACTGCCATATTTAACTAACTTCAGTGCTAAAGTCATTTTGGTTCCAAAAGTGTTTTATAGTTCATATTTGGTGTGTCCTTAAGAACTAAAAGTCACCATTTTCTACACATCCTGCCTTTCCCCCTGATTGTAGAGTAACACACACACAATTTGTAAGAGGACGGTGAGGACGGGATAAAAACACTACAAATAAATAAATAAATAAGAAAAAGAGCACAAGATAAAAAAAATCCAAACACAAACTAAAACCCAAATTCTACAAGGAATCCAACACACATCAGACAGCTAAATTATGAGTTGTTGAAGACATGCATTGTGCAATCTTGCTCCACTTTCTAGTTAACTGCTGACGTGAATTAGCAGGAAAGCTGCGCCTCTAAAAATAAAACCATGTAGAATAATCAGTGCAGAGGCCCAAAGATGAGGTAGTAGCTTACAGATGTTAGGCTGCTCAGAAACACAACCCGAGAAGCAACTGCCTGATGCCTTTTTTGGGAGGAGATTCTAATTCCAGAGGGCAGGGGTCTCCAGCCTTTTTTATTTATTTTATTTTTTGGACTTCTATCCCGCCCTTCTTGAAAATGGGCTCAGGGAGGGTCATAACAGAAAGCCTGGGGGCACCTTTGGATTTCAGACATAGGGTGGTGAGCAAAACCACGTAATGGCTGCCACAGGAAGCAGAGCCAACCACACATCAGGGAGTGAGGCCTTCCCTAATTGTAGAAGTAACTTTTCAACATTTCAGGCAGAATCTGATTAACAGGATGCTTTTTAAAACGAACAGATTTAAAAGAAATTTCTTGCTTAACATAC